TGCTCGAAAAGCGTTCCAAGGTGAACGGCCGATGCCGTCGTCACGAACGAACGACTCCTTGGCGACGAAAACGCCGGTTAAAACGGCACCTTGATCACGTTGTGGTGTTTGTACACAAATCAGACATGTAGATTGTAGAAGAGCAAAAGTCCAGACACAGGACGCGCGGGTTGTGCTTCATCCTTCATAGAACTGTCACACCAGATGAGAATGTAGGCGTGACGATGGGCAAACGTGCTGAAGGAACGCCCCGTTACCAAATACCTAACGGCAGTTAAATCTTTTTAGAACGGTTAAGAAGAAGACCTTGTGAATCCTTCCGTTCAAAAGCTTCGAACCACATTTTATAAAAAAAGTGCCTAACACAATTTTTAGCACGTTATAAGACGTGCGTTATAAGTTTTTGTGATATTTTCGGCATGAGCTTAAGCATGTATTGACCTTAAGAGGCGAATCTCAAAGCTAAGTTGGGACTGTGACGTTGCATTATAACTTTGTGCTGCTTTGCTCTATGCGTATGTAGGCTAAAAACTACAAAACCATGTAGATTCACAGCGAATGTTTCAGTGAAAGTATTGCCTTCGTTTGCCTCCTGTGGCTACCGTAAACGTCACCATTTGGTGATTGCGGAAGTGTCCTCATTTCACGTAATCTGTTACTCGATCGGACTCGCTTACATAACACTTACGATGTGGCGCTACCTGCATTGTTGAACAGATTTAGCTGTCATCTACAACTGTTTTCCTGTAGCTTCAATGAGGCGAAAGTGCCCTCATTTAAAGCGATCGACTTTTCATGCGTTATAAATCAGATCAATCGCGATCTATTTTGTGAAAGTGAGCGTCAATTTAGCTCAGACTCTGCAGCTATGCGATGTACTTGAGATTCATCGACCTAAGCCGGATAAATTGCGAATAAAAACGTCACATACATACATGGAAAATACAGGACATGCGCGAATCCTGCCTGCTTCAAATGCCACCATGCAATGTTCCCATGACAGTTATTCACGCAACAATCACAGGAAGCATTCCTGTGCATACCGATCATTCGCCTGCACCAACCTTTTTCTAAATTAACCGCATCTCGACAGAAAGAACTGCAGAGTCGGCGCCGCCCCCCGCCGACCCGGGCCGGGCAGGTGCGGCGCTCGCTGCAGGAAAGACGGCCGGCCCGGCCCGCCGTGCTCCCAACAACGTTCTCACAGTCTAGTCAGCACCGCCGCAGATAGGGATTTTTACCGCCGCTGGGGGGGGGGGGGAGGGGGCTGCGGACCGGCTCCGGTCCGGGGCGCAGGTTTCTGCGCAGGTCCCCCCTCCCGGCGGCTCTGGAAATGGCGCGTGTATAAAGGAGTGTCGGCAGTGGGAGCTGGGTCATTCGTTGAAAGGTGTTCGACTTGGACAGATTGATTACGGACAGGATGGCAATTAAGGTGAGAAATTCAGCGGCGAGATATACTCTATCGATGAACAGTGGTGCCAGTGATATAGGTATTGAAGTCGTGATATGTTAATATTCGAAGAATTGCTAAAAGTTTCGAAAATAATTTGGACGTGCTTTTGTTCATTAGTGCGATGAATAAAAGAAACAATGATTAGCTCGATGGTTGGTGACTTTTGGCATCTTATTCAAGTTTTTACGATTAGAAAATAATTTTGTTTACAATTTTTAATTTCATTTGAATTTCAGTTTATGTAATTATTTGATATTTTATTATCTGTTAAGGGATTCATGTCATCGGTAAATAAATAGCTTTGAAATATCTTGAAAAGGATCACGATATCTTGCTTATTATAAGGCAGGCCAGTTCCTCAATCGTTCCGCTTCTCCCTCGGCAGATTGTTCTCGTTGCGGCTCTGGTGGCTGCTGTGGCGGCCCAGAAGACGCCCCGCGGCGACCCCGGCGCCAGTGCCGGCGGACCAGGAGGACCAGGCGGACCAGGCATCCACGGAGGACCACCCGGCAGCCACGGAGGACCACCGGGCGGTCCCGCCGCCACCGGCACCCCGCCACAGCTCGGCGAGGACCTCGGCAACGGAAACTTCCTCGTCTCCAAGTTCTCCTTCGGCCGCGCCAAGCCGTTCACCAACCCGCACTTCCGCGAGGGCGGCGCCGCCGAGAGGCGCGACCCGCAGCACCTGCCGCCGGACGCGCTGGCCAGCCTGACGTCGCCGCGCGACTCGGAGCGCAGCGGCAGCAGCAGCAGCTCGCGGCGCGGCTCCTCGAGCGCCCGGCCCGCCGGACCGACCGCCTCGGACGGCACCTTTGGCACCAACGGGGCCGGTCTGGCGCCGCGGGGCAGTCAGAGGGGTCAGCCCGGGCCGGCCGGCGGCTTCGGGCAGGGACAGTTCGGACAGGGACAGTTCGGACAGGGGGCCTTCCCGGGAGCCGCCGGAGGGTTCCCCTCGGCCCCGACGGCGTTCGGCGGGCAGGGATTCCCGGCGGGAGCGCAGGGATTCGCCGGGCAACAGTTCGCCCCCGCCGACCAGTTCGGTCAGCAGGCGTTCCTGCCGCAGCAGCAGTTCGGCGGTCAGCAGGCGTTCCTTCCTCAGCAGCAGTTCGGCGGTCAGCAGGCTTTCCTCCCCCAGCAGCAGTTTGCTGGCCAGCAGGCGTTCGCTCCTCAGCAGCAGTTCATCGGCCAGCCCGATCCTTTCGGTCAGCAGTCGTTCCCGGGCGCTGGCCAGCAGTTCGTCGGACAGCCAGATCCGTTCGCTCAGCCGGCTCTAGGCGGCCAGCAGTTCGCTCCCGCGGGCCAGCAGTTCGCTCCGGCGGGCCAGCAGTTCGCTCCTGCAGGCCAGCAGTTCGCCCCTGGCGGCCAGCAGTTCGTCCAGGCCGACCCGTTCGGCCAGCAGAGTTTCGCGGGGCAGCCGGCGTTCCCGGCCCAGCAGGGATTCGGCGCGCAGCAGGGTTTCGCCGGCCAGTTCCCGACGGCTAGCGGTCAGCAGTTCGGACAGCCGGCGGCCGGTCGGACGGCCTTTGACGCCAGCGCCTCGGCGCCCTTCGGGAGCACGGCGTTCGCGGCGGAACCGAGCGGGTTCGGCGGAGCGAGAGGGAGCTTCGGGCAAACGCGCGGAGCGACTCGGTTCCAGTAGGGAGTGAGACGGGCGAGTGAGGGGGCTTTCACTCCAGATTGGCGACTGCGCGCTGTCTGTCTGTCTGTCTGTCTGCGCTCCGTGTGTGTCTGTCTGTGTGTGGTTGTATGTCCGGCTGGCTATCTACGAGCGCTGAGAGCAAGTCATGTGTTCAAGTCGGGTCTCATTGTTGTTTTTTCACATGCAGTGTCCATGTTTGTCCCCATAATGAACGGTTACTTATGTAAGTCGTGAAGCTGCCATTGAGATAAATATTTATGAACGATGGTAAGTATGATAACAATGATGAATGAAAATGGATTTATTGTGAAGATGAAAATACTAAGGATGATGCAGCACACACTAGTGCTAAAGTACATGCATTTGTAATGTGCATTGATGAATATATTGACACATTGAACAGCCATTGTTTATCAAAGCGTTATGTGCTGTTTGCGGAGGTTTAGCGCACCGATGCAATAATGATTAGGTAGCAGGGCTGGAAACAGGGAAGAATTAGCGCTTTTTGAGTTTCAATAAACACCTGTGTTTTTACGAAATTAACTGGATAGAAATCAGTGAAACATGCACACAACTATATGGCTCTTATTATGTACTTACTGTTGATCTTTTTGCTTAACGTTGGCCTATATATAAACACTAAAAATGCCGGACTAATGACGTGTCTTTAGCGTAATCCAACGCACCTGTGGTTACTAGACGGTTCTCATAATTATTAGCACGACGCAAAAGCTCGTCAAAAATACTGCAGGAATAGTTATTGCTCAGAGGTAGCGAATGAGTCACTAGGAAACCGCACATTCCGATCTCATGAGCGGCGGACCTAACAGGTAAAGCCACGTAGCATATTATCTGTTTTCCGCCGCCAGATTTTCCTATTTTTATCCTTATCGAAAAACCCTACTCGACTATGCACTGATAAGCACTCATGTTTCCTCTTTCATCTCAACGTTTCCGGGCGCGCGCTGTGTAGATTTGTGGTGCACACTTCCTGTCGGCAAAATAAATAAGAAATGCTTAACATATAAAGACTTAGCACTTGGCATTTATCAAGTCTGTACCAACTACCAATAATATGCCAACATCGATTTTTATAATGCACCCCAAAAACTGATTTTCCAAGTCTTTTCAGCATCAACAATCCTGCCTGAAGCATTTTCTGGGCAATTAAAACGTCACATTTGCCAACATTCACCAAAACAGTATTTATTCTAAACGAGTCGCTGGCTAAGCTGTTCAAAAGTACCCGTTCCACCTCTGATCCCTATCCCCCCCCCCCCGTATCTCCCGGATGGCGATACAGGGGGAGGAAAGTCATGTCCGTCTGTGACGCTGTAGACTGGTACGGGCCGGCACGGAAAGGGGCGGCCACGCCCTGACTGGGCCCCGTGTCACCGCCTTTGTCTGAACAAACGGCAGTGCACGTGCTGGGGTGTAATGTACCGCGAGGGGTGGGCTGCTTCGAGACTGAGCGGTGTAGTCACTAGTCAGGCGCTGTACGATGCAATGCTAGTGGACTGTTTTACGCATTGCAATGCATTCTAGCGCAGTATGCGGCCTCTGGGCTGTTTTCAATAATTGATGCACACGTTTGGTCACATTCCTTCTCGCACGCAAAACGAATATGAAAAATAAGGAAAAGTGCCACGTATTTAGGTCAGTTCCAACTCATTTCTCCACATGTGATTCAGCTTTATGACGACGGAATTAAGAACCACTTCCAGACGCAAAGCGATCTTCGGCAATTGCACTTCAGCCGCATTGGAGTTAACAATGAATGCTGAATGATAAACGGAGGCCGAAGCGTACACCCAGTCTTACTCTTATCCCCGTTGCAGCGCTAACTAAGACTGTGTTGTGAAAGAAAGTCCTATGAAACCTGTGACGCAAACATTTTAAACAAAAAAATATGTTAGCTTGCAGCACATATATTTAGCATGGTCACCGAGGCAATTTGGTAACAGCGCCGGCTTAACATTGTGCATTTTCGAATAACACTCGGTAAAACAAGAGACAATGCGACGCACCCCACCCAGCGCTACTGGCACATTACAGATGGACAAATAATTCATTCAAGAATGACTTAATATCAAAAATACGATTGAAAAATATATTTGGCGTAATATCGCAAACCTGACGTCGCACTATGCGACGTCGAACTATGCTGTAACATTCCATCACAATGCAGCCCCTGTGGCGTTGAGTGTGCCATTCACAGCCAGAATTGCCTCCAGCGGGCTCGAAATAGCGTTATACACAACCAAATTCAGCAGGAACGCGCCGATAATCACAAAGCACCACCAGGCGACGTTCTTCAGATCCGCGATAAAGTCGCTGGGGTACGCGAACAGCTCTGCGTCGCTGTTCGGCTGGGGACCGAAGGGTGTATCGTATCTCCTGTCGGCGGTCGGGCGCTGCCCCGGGGGTGGTGGTCTGCGCTGGTAAGGCTCTGCTGGTCTGCGCTGGTGAGGGTCCGCTGGTCTCCGCTGGTGCGGCTCCGCTGGTTTCCGCTGGTATGGCTCACCGGACGCTGGTCCGAACGGCTGGTCTACATCCGGTCGGTTAGGATCGGCTGGTCCCTGCCGATACTGCCGGACCGTCTCAGGTCGAGTTCGCTCAGCCGTCTCCGGCTCGTCGGGCTGAAGTTTTCCCTGGCGGTACTCCCTGGTGTCTGGCTGAGGTTGAGGATCGCCCCACTCCGGACGACTCGGCCCAGCCTCTCCCTGGCGGTACTCCCGGCTCGGCGGGTGCGGATTGTGCCACTCCGGCCGGTGCGGATTGTGCCACTCCGGCCGGTGAGGATTCGCCACCTGTTCTCTGTACGGCCGCTGGGACTCGGGCCAGTGCTGCTCCGGTCGGGGTCGGTAGTGATGGTTCGGTCCCGGTCGATGATACTGGTTCGGTTCTGGTCGATACATTGCAGCAGGATCAGGTCGGAACATATCCGGCTCCCTCTGGTCCATGTCGTCAGAGTCCGACCCCTGGTGCACCCCGGTGAACGAGTCCAGCACGCCCGTCAGCGTGCCCAGCCATCCCTCGCCTTCCTCCTCTTCAGGAGGTAGGAAGTTGGGACGTCTCGGCTCAGACTCGTGGCGCACGGTGATCGCTGGCCCGTAGTTTGTCCCGACCGGCTGCCGTCGGACCTTCTCGTACCAGTCTTCGTCACTGGGCCCCGGTTGGTACTGGTTCTCCGTCCCGTAGCCGTGTTGGTTCTGGTTTTGCTGGCCGGTTCCTGGCCGGTTCCACCCGCTTGCTCCCTGCTGGTTACCGTACGCAGCGAACTGCTTGTACGGCCGGCCGGTTCCCAGCTGGTTGTACGGCTGCTCAGCTTCTGGGTGCGGATGTCCTGGGTCTGGGCCAGCTCCGTAGTAATGCTGTTGCTGACCGGCTCCTGGTCCGTATTGTTGACCCGACTCCGGCCAGACGACAGGCTCGGGGACTGCCTGCGGTTTGAACTTCTGTCCAACTCCAGGCTGAAGGACTGGCTGTGACTCATGATGTTGCTGTCCTGCTCCTTGATCCTGATGTTGGGTGGGCTGACTGCCCGTTTCTGGAGCAGACTGAGAGTCGACTGCGGGCTGGTGGTTTTCGAGACTGCCAGTGGCTGCACCAGTCTGGTGGTTGCCTAGACTGCCAGCCGCTACACCAGGCTGATGGTTGTCCAGACTGCCCGTTGCTGCACCAGGCTGGTGATTGTCCAGACTGCTGGCGGCTGGAACAGTCTGATGGTTGTCCAGACTGCCAGTCGCTGCACCAGGCTGATGGTTGTCCAGACTGCCGGCGGCTGGAACAGTCTGGTGACTGTCCAGGCTGCCAGTCGCTACACCAGGCTGGTGGTTGTCCAGACTGCCAGTCGCTGCACCAGACTGGTGATTAGCTAGACTGCCGGTCGTTGGACCAGTCTTATGGTTGTCCAGACTGCCTCCGCTCGTCCAGACTGCCTTTGGCTCGCGCTGTTTGTCGACTGCAGGCTGGTGGTTATCCAGCAGTCCACCATCCGTTGTGTCAGCGCCGGTCAGGTTTTCGGCGGATGCCAGCGCAGAGACGAGAATCAGAGTCTGAAACGAAAAAAAAACACCGAGTGGTCAGCGCAAGACGTCACAACAACACGGCGCTGGACGACGCAGTTGCTCAGCAAACGAAAAAAAGTGTGCAATAAGACTTCATAAGTACTAAGATTTGTCATTGGAGAAATATTAAAAAAAAACTTCTCGCCACTGGGTATTTTGTCCACTAGTTATCCATCTTTCATGTCAATGTAACCTAGGTTCACCTCAAGTTCATTAATTTATGCCTCAGTATAAAAACTCGCCCCTTTTTCATGCCCTTTTCCAATGCCCTTGTGAATGCGTTGAATGCTCGCAAAAACGTCAGATACGTATCTCAAAATATCATCGCTGGGAAGCACGAACATAACTCTTAATCGGCAGTTTAAAAAAAGTTATATTTTAATTAACTAAAAAGTAATTGAATCATCACAAAAACAACTTCTCCAAAACTTGAGCAGACTTTTGCACATGCTTACCAAGGCTGTGACGCGCCATCTTCCCCTCGACCACATGCTGACGGTACGGGTCCCTCCGTTCACCGGCTAGTGAGTAGTGGGCGGCGCCGCCCCGGCCGCAGTCCGACCTCTACTGACCTGACCCTGGTCGGCGCTGCGCCGCTGGCCGTGCCCCCAGGCGCCGGCCGGCCGCCGAGTCACCTGACCCCAGGCGTCGGCCGGCCGCCGGGACACGTGACCTCGGCTTAGGTCGCGCCGCGCGGCAGGGGCGGATACAGGGAGGGAGCGTGAGGGGGCAGAGTCCCTGCCGATCAGTCACGCCACTGCGGATTGAGTCACTCTTGCAGCAAATGGTGCCAATGCCAAATGCGTTTCATAATAACTTCGTAAATCATCGCCATACATTATATAACACGCAGTCTGAAGCAGGTTTTATGGCATTCCAATTTCCAAGTGACCAAACGTAATAAGGTAAGTGTTCTAATTCTAGTTCTAATTGTAATGGTCGAAGCCGATTGCCATAATGACCATTATTCCTTCCAAAACAATGTTTTTAACGTAACGCTCTACAGCAGTAGGTACTTACATGGGAAGAAACAAAAACCTAGCATTGATTAACCCCTCCTCCCCCCATCCCCGCTCCTTAGCAGTCTCTTTCCCTTCCCCCGCCTGCCCTCCGGTATGCTTGCTGCTGGCGCTACCTACCCTATGAGTCCGGAAGTAGCGCTCTGGCAGTGAAGTGAATTGATTATTGCAATAAAGCATACCTTTTACCTAAACATATGTTCGTGATATGCCTAGACTTGACTAAACGGTAGACGGTAGTTACATAAAAAAATGAAACTTGAGAATGTGTTCTTGCCGACACCATTTCTGCGCGCGTAAATTACTTTTTCTCCTCATCCGCAGCCTCCGTGGCGCAATTGGTTAGCGCGTTCGGCTGTTAACCGAAAGGTTGGTGGTTCGAGCCCACCCGGGGGCGTTACCGCTGTTTTGAGACGCGTATGGCGTGAGCAGTGAGCTTGTTGTAGGTAACCCGTCGCATAAAAGCTGATGATAAGAAACGTAACGCCAACAGTGTATATAAATAGCCCATGATGAAATCCGGAAAATATAGTGCAAGCGCGAAGCATGCGCTTAAAACGGCATTCAAAACATTGCCGCGCAATGTCCCCGTGAGGCTCGCCAGGAGCATGATAAACTGCATGAAACCCAATAAATGATCTTCTCTCCACTCCTAAACAACTGCCAGTAAGAGCGATCGCTACGCCACGTGCAAGGTCAAACCTGCGGACGAGGAAAACTGGTGCGGTCCTGATCTCTCGGCCTCCGTAACTGGGATACACACTCCTACTGTTAACGCCAGACCCCTTGAGACCCTAATTTTTCGCGATTACTTTTAAATGCGTGAAGGAATTTCAACCAAGCTCAGGACATGGCCGTTTCAAGACAGGCCGAAACTTTTACAATTTAGATATTTTATCGCCATTTCAATATTTCAGGCACTTGTCATTGACTCGTAATGTTAAATTTCGAGCAAGATTTTCATCCGGTGTGTAGAGGCTATCACCAGTCAGTCTGTGATACGTTATGACGTCACAGCTAAGCCCCGCCTCTGTGGTCTTGGCCTGCGGCGGTTTCGGGCCGGCGCGCGGTCACTCTCGCTGTGGCGGGGAGCGGGGACGGGCGACGGTCGAGCGGTGCCGAAAGCCGGCGGAGTTGTGCGTAGCGTCTTGGCTGACAGTGCCCAGAGAGCGACATGATGACTAAGGAGTCATAAATGCTCAATGCGCATTGCTTCTACAATGCTGATATGTTCGCTGATATTTTTTTTATAAGCTGCAAATGACGGGCAGATGGCATATAACTGACATAAGGTTAGGAAATATTCACCTGTATTTAAAGCCTATGGCGTTGCAGATAATGCGATAAGGGGATGTCGGATGTCACCAAGTAGCTGCCGATTTGTACATCGCTATGCAACCATCGAACAACGCAATAATAAGTTAATTGCCTGAGCTTCACATCATACGGCTCGCTCGTATTTCAAACAGATACCCTACATCGAAAATCGTATTTGTTAGGAATCGTTAACGTTTGTTCGAAGCACGACTGAGTAGTAGGTTGAGGAGTGATGGTCCTCTTGGTCCTATATACAAGAGTCAACAAGAGCCTAACATTTACTTGACCGTCTGCTGCAATTGACTCATAGCACGTGAAGCGTCAGCGAAATTCATAGTCCTTCACAGATGGCAGGGGTGTCGTTTGTACAGAGGTCGCTGATGGGCACGAGTCAATGCCGCAGTCGTGGGCGGAGCCTAATGTCATATGACGTAGAAAGCCTCTATCCAGGATGGAAAAACAGTTAACATTACGAGTCAATGACAAGTGCCTGAAATATTGAAATGGCGATGAAATATCTAAATTGTAAAAGTTTCGGCCTGTCTTGAAACGGCCATGTCCTGAGCTTGGTTGAAATTCCTTCACGCATTTAAAAGTAATCGCGAAAAATTAGGGTCTCAAGGGGTCTGGCGTTAACAGTAGTGCAGAAGAGGTATTACAGGGGGAGCATTTGTTTGACCGCGAGCGAGCCACTTAGCTGTCCTAGTTAGCACACGTGATGAGGGTGAATGTGTGAATGATTGCGGTGACTGTTGTCATATCCCATTCGATTTGTATATGCACAACGACTTGGACATAGAATAGCCGTGTTTCCACGGACATGTCTGTAATGTGAAATAAATAAATAAATAAATAAATACAAAGGTCGCGGATCAGTCTTACAGGGTCACATTAGCTTGACGTCACTGGACTGAATTTGCTTATTTCAGCAGCCCATAAACAGTCTATTTCAGCAGACATCGCCATAACTCCGAGGCGATAAACTTTCATCACTGATGTGTAATAGCTGTTTTCACGACGGGCTATCCGGCGAATGCACCTAATTTGACCAAATCTGCACCTAATGTTCTTTACAGCAAATATCTTCATTTTATGAATTTATTTCAGTGTTTTAACCGATGAAGCTCTCTGATAATATGACAAAGCAGGCATATATAAGCAATTAGAGCACCCCTAGCTGATAGCTACAAAGAGACACACTGAACCTGATTTGACCAAATCTGCTCCTAATCTGCACCAGATGTGCACCAAACGTGTACCAGATGGCCGTCGTGAAAACGGCTATTATCAACATGTTCAACTTGAAAAAAGCTGTTTGACCTAGACCCGGAGGTGATTTTTGGGTGGCTGAAGTGGCTGCTCTAACTGATGGCCCGGAGCTGAGCGTCCTATAGTAGCAAACAGAAGACGGAAAAGCCTCCACCAGCACCCCTGACCTGTCTGCGGCCCCGCCGGACATCGTGACCAGGAGGGGCTCCCTAGCGGTGCCTGCCCCGGCCGCGGGCGCGCTGGCGGAGCGGGAGCTGCCCGACCTGCGCGAGGCTGTCATAGTGATCGGCATGTTCTGGCTCACGTTTGTCGTGGGCGCTGTGATCCTCTGCGCTCCATTGTTCTTCGGGGCGCCAGAGCCGGGGAATATGACCATGGCGATGATGTGGCGAAGGTCGACGGACAGCGCGATGAACTGAATGGTAGGCGCCGGGGAATTTGTTATTATTCACGCCCGTTTATTGATCGCAGTTCATCTTAAATCGTCAGTTTTAACCCGTATTCATCCGACAAACATAAAAAGTCGTTTTATTCGCTAGTTTTCTGAGGGTTTCTACTTTTTATCCATTTCACTTTCTTTTTCATTCTTACGTTGTTTTACTGGTTTTATTTTTATTCACGTTTTATTTCGTGTAAAGTTTTTCCTTCATAAACTGAAGTTTTCTTCAGTAATTTGGTAGCAATTTGGTAGCAATAAAATTGTAGATCTCTTGCGTCGTTTATCGTCTCAGTAGGCATTTCTAGCGCCACCTGTCGCCGCCGGGAGATCTTTTTCCTTTGACGCAGGGGGGCGACACGGCTATTCACGCAATATATTCATTTGCGGGCCCCGCGGGGCCTCGCGATGACGCGGCTGGAGGCAACCACTCAGCGCGCTAGGATCCTTCTGGCGGGGCCGGGCGCCGTAAGGTGTGCAATGAATGGGCGGGCAGACAGAGATGAGGTAGGTATTGAATTTGAAATGACATCATGAGCAATTGGATGGGGAGAGAGAACGTTTCTAATGGAGCTGGGGATGGGGGAAAACCAAAAATATCACGGCCGGTTCAGTGCTCCGACGGGGCTGGGCGCCGTACGGTGCGTAGTAATTTAGACGGGCAGACAGAGATGAGTTATCGGATTCGGCTCTCTGGTGGGATTTTAAGACGTTTTTAGTTAAGCTCAGGTTGGGGCAACCCGCTGGCGGATGCAAGGGAAGGCATTTGGGACAAATGTTATCCCCCACAGGCCCACATCCGGGGCAGCGTCCGAAATCGTTTTTCGAGAAGTGTATTGATCGGTGCACAGTAGTGCGCAAGGAATCAAAATCCGATGTTTTTTTAATTCACAGAAACCTTTTTTAGGGTATATGCCCCCCGATGTGTTCAAGACCGCTTCCTGAATCCGCCAATTAAGAATAGGTATGTCACGGTCGATTATCGAGCTTCGACGGGACTGGGCGCTGTATGCGTCGTACCTACAATGAAGAGGCGTACAGACACCTCACCCCACATCCTACTGCTCTACCCGTGCCTCTGGGTGAAGCACTGAAGCATCACGGAAGCCCACAGGACCTGCGAGTCGACGTGGCCGCCGGATACTGCAGCTCCCCGGAGTTGCCTGGGACCGAGGGTTTAACAGTAGTAATTTTCACTGGTGGTGAATCCTCGTAATGTAGAGATAATATCCTCAAGGACCTCCGTTACGATTTTATATTCCTAAACAATATGGCTGACCAATTATGCTTGCCTACGTTCAGGCATTATCCCTGATGCTTATCCGCCCACTACAACATGTGTTGTCTGTCAATCAACCATCGCTCGACGACGGGATCAATTCTAACCATCGGTACTCGGTTGTCAATTCACCCACCCCGTTTCCCTAAAAATAGACGGGTCAGACTCGGCCTGGGTCCTAACGAGTCCTAGAATCGCCAGGGACGGGATCGGGTCGACGTTATTGCACCGGTCTTAGCGTCTTTTGTTACATGTAGAGTAGACAGCTTCGACCACGGACGTCGGACCGTTCTACGAATGTACGCACCATCCAGGCCTAAGATGCGTCGAGCTTTATAAGAATGCAGTCTAGATCAATCAACATAACAATGGTGGTATGCAAACGTTAAAATCTCTCCCCGGCTCCCGCAACGTCCAACGCTCCTCCGTTATACGCTCGCTCGATGCGTCCGCCGAGCCGGCTTGCCTCCAATGACGTCATCGGCCGGCCGGCGGCGTTCAAGGTCAAACGGCTGGTGTCCTTACCTGGAGTTATATAGCCTTGCTTTGACGACTGACGTGCCTTTGACGAGCCGGTTAAATTAAAAATTAAAAATTTTAAAGTTAATATCTGCCTTCCCTTCTGTTAAAAGGTAAGTAAGGTTGTTATTCTTATATTGTGTTTCTTCATTTTATTGTATATTGTGGTTCTAAGCTTCAGATGAAATAACTATGGTCAATGAAATCTAAGCAATAATTACCAATAATTAGCAAAGCAAAGCAATAATTGGCAGTAATAAAAGCCATAATTACCAGGAAGCGTCATGAGAGAATGCTGATTTTCTGACATTTTTATTTGAGTTGTTTCAGCTCGTGTAATTGAATGATGGTTTCCTAATTGCCAATTATGGGGAATGCTGTAAAAGATCTGGGATGTGATTCTTCTATTATTAGTTTCAGTTAAGCTAAATGAGCAATTAAATGTTGTTCCTATTTACTTTTTCAGCTGCTTCATGGCTACTCAGCCACTCCCCATCCTGACTCCTGAGTCCTGACTCCTGAGTATCACCGTTTCAACCTGAATTAACCTTGAGTGTATCATAGCAAGGTAATATTCTGTTGTGAATCATGATATAAATTCAAACTTTTTCCATAGGTACCTTGTTTTCAGTTTCTTATAGGTTTTTGGTCCAGTACTTGTTTTTTCATACTGTTTCCATTCACCTGCATTTCAGAGCCATGGCCACCCAGATCTCCGAGGGCCTGCAGAAGGTGGTTCTGCAGCAGGGCACCGGTCAGAGGCCCAACCGAGGTGACACCATCACTGTCCAGTGCACCGGCATGCTGCACGGAGACCCGCCCAAAAAGTTCTGGAGGTGAGCATGTGGCTGAACTAGTTGCGCTGCAGTGGGGTGGCAGGCCAGGCAACAGTTTACGTTTACTGAAGTACCTACCACCAAGGCTATATAAACCAGGTAGAACGCTCCGGGAAAAAAGTTGGAAACAATAAATTAGTTGCGGCATTCCCTGATGACGCGAATGTGGGTCAGCGGCCGGCGGCGGGCGGCCGCTAACACTGCATGAGGATGAATGCACGGAACTTTTGCTTGTTGGAGATTGCGCTAGGCAGTTAAATGTTAATGTTAGGATACGTTTCGAAAGTAAATTGAACGACGCTTCGAACGCCGTCAATGAATTTGCGATACGACGACTATTTGTTTAGCTAGAGCCGGCGAACTTTTACCTTCCGACCGCGCGGGGAGGCGATATGGTGCCACACTGACGGTTTTTACGATAGCTCAAAATTCTTTTGAGCTAAAGAGCTGAAATTTGACATGTCCAATCTTTTGATCAAGCTGGATCTTCTGGTACAAGTCGCATATTTAAGGTACGTCAGGTTGGTGACCTATGTTGTTGCTCGTGAGCCTCTACACAGTCTAAAAACAACGCAATTTCTGAGCACTCAGTGCCACGAAATCCTTCACGGAAAGATGACACTTGGCAGAAAGAAGAGCTGTCAGTTTCTTAGCGTTCGTATGTGTCGTGTTTTCACAAGAGTTTAGTAAGGTCAGGTCCCTCACGTTGACGTGACTTCCCTCATAACTCAATAGGTTTGCTATCATAGAAGCGTTTATCAATCGCCGGAAATCTTAGCCAATCCCACTGGACACTGGATCCATATCCACATGGAGCCCTCCTGACCGGCCACTCCCTCTGAAATCCACAATAACATCGGGCTGCGGCCACGGTTATGTATTAATGCTTTTCACTAACAAAAATACAACAACTTCAACCAGCACAGTGCACGCCGCCACAACAGTCCGACCCACGTCCCTGATATCGACTAGCACCCGGCCGGATGCACATACGTGGAGCCAATCAGTCCGAATGTGACCTGCAGCTTACAATTGCTGTGTCGCATGGCGCATGGCACAGGACGATTCCTAGCAGCTGTCGGCTGGAGTGGAGAAACAGCACGTTGCGACATACCGCGCCGGCGACAGAGCTCAGCAGGCCTGGTTGGAGGCTGGAGCCGGAGGTAAAGGCGGACACAGGCACAGACATTGCAGGACAAATAACAGGATGTCAGTTAGGGATATAATTCAAGACGAATGATTCAAGACGGACTGAAATAATGCAAATTTTGCTCACTTGGATACCAACTTCAAACTTGACGTTTATAGCACCACGGAAACAATGGGCGCACAGGAAAGAAACAAAAGATGAGGTGTTTCTAACTCAAGGAAGCAAATAGAGGTTGCATATGATGGAACTGCCCGAAGTGCAGACAAGCACATATTTTTGGTAATAGCTATCAGCTGTCCTACTCCTCTTCTCCCTTCATCAACTACTGGACACATCTGAAGCATCATATATAGGTAGCACCAATGTCCATAACAAAAGCTTCCATAACAAAAGTTTTATGAATCCAAGGGAAATATGCCTACATCATGCATGTAAACTCAAAATTACACATGCATGACAAAGGAAGCTTATGTAAAGAAAATAGTTGACAAAAGCATTTCATAGTTAAAATTATTCAAAACTGCACACAGGGCAAACATAAAAAGCAGCAAGTGTGCTGTTCTGTTATGCTAAGAAATAGTCCAAAACAAAATACATCTTTTCATGATTGAACTGGTTATTCTTCTATGCCACTTCATCCATATCTTGATTACAGATGGGCTGTTGCTGTAGGCTGATGAAGTGACACTTGATTGCCTTTGTGCGAGTTTCAGTTGCAGCCTCCTAGGTACTGCACTGGAAAGCAGATTGAATTGAATGCCTCTGGAAGATAGGAATATAGGCAAAGTTAGCTGTAGTAATGTCAATGATAATAGACATGCATTTTTGTCCTTTGACATACATTTGTTGAATTACAAAAGGGCACAAAATAAATTTGTTTGTTTCAAGACACGCACACTGCACAAAGCCGCACAGACATTACACAGGCATATGCAATTGGTACACATAAAACTTATGATTAAAAAGGTCAGAACTAGCAATAATAATTGAACTTTGAAGTCAAAGTTACAATCACAATCATTTGATTGGTAATATGACTTGACAAGATGCGCAACACAAGTCACAAGACGCAACACTCCTATTCACTTAAGAAGTTTTTATGCTTTCATTATCCTCCACATATCAACCAGCTTGATACCAGGCTGTGCAATAGTGGGTACATAACCCCATGTTGCCATTTTATTAGAGCAAGTGGGGTTACAACAACAATGCTAATGTCAAACCCACATCTGCAACCCGTACTGCAGTTTCAATCACCTTACAAGCACACCTTCTGGCAGTTTGATAGGCAGAATGGTCATTACTACCTTCTCCTCATATTCAACACATATTCCCTTTATACAGATAGAGTTTAGACCTGGTTATGGCAAGCATTTTCGAGAAAAGACATGATAAAAGTCCAAGACAAAGGTCGAGAGAAACAACACCAACATAAAACACCGACTATGTAGCACTAACACTGTCAAATTCATAAAAATATATACATGAGTCGATCAGAAATTCACTGTAGATTTCGAAAATGGTGTCAAATGCCACACAAATACCCCCATTCGCATGTACGAAGCAATAAAACACTGACCTTCAGTCCCGCGTGCCATTCTCCATAGGCCACTGTGTATTAAATAATGCGTTCACTAATCGCAAAAAATGAGACCCACATATGACGCGTTTGCTACCAGCCAATCAGCGCTCGAGATGCTGAGCGCTGATTGGTGGAGAGGGCCGTCGTTAGCAGTCCATTACACGTCGTTTTCCTTGAACATGTGCGTGAGCGCTGATGCTGCTCACGGGTTGTTGCCATTTTTCGTAATGCTGAAGGCACGGGAGCGAACCCCCCTGCCTACCACTACCCAGCTGGGATTGTTTCCCTATATTTATGGACAATACCATTCATTTTTCTAGTGGGGGCAGTAATATCCAACACTGTTTAAAACTTTAAACTTTGGCAGGTGAGCCAAATTTCCTTTCCCAGCCTTTGTATTTTATGGTGCATTGAATAATGTGGCGTTAGCCTTGATCTCTCTCTCTCTCTCTCTCTCTCTCTCTCTCTCTCTCTCTCTCTCTCTCTCTCTCTCTCTCTCTCTCTCTCTCTCTCTCTCCTCTCTCTCTCTCTCTCTCTCTCTCTCTCTCTCTCTCTCTCTCTCTCTCTCTCTTTTCCTCCACACCTCACTGTCTCTGACCGTGTGCATGTTTCTCTCTCTCCCCGGCAGCACCACGGACCCGGGCCAGAAGCCGTTCTCGTTCCAGGTGGGGCTGCAGAAGGTGATCGCCGGCTGGGACGAGGGCTGCATGACCATGTCGCTCGGGGAGAAGGCGCGGCTCATCATCGCGCCCCACAAAGGGTACGGAGCCGGCGGCTTTCCCGCCTGGGGCATCCCGCCCAACGCCACCCTCAACTTTGAGATCGAGATCCTCAAAATCGGCAACTAGGAAAGGCTGGGTGTACCAATACTGGTGCGCGCAACGTAAACGTCTGTCAAACCAAACATTCACTGCTTTTTCATTGAAGATATTCGGCACTTTCTCTGCTTTTTGTGCGTGATCGAGATGGTAGTTACTCACTGAAGATCTCTGGGAGTTCTGACGCATGTGAAGTGGATCTCGCAATCGCTTTATCCTAGGATGCTACCCGCTGTCGATGGGTGTTTTGGGTGTCACCGAGTGTTTCTACCTTGCACACTAGGTATGTTCTTTGTTGCTACTCCAATTTAGTCCATTTGTACCTTTTTAAAAAGCGCTTAACGTTGACCGGCGATGAAGTCGCATTCCTTTTCCATGTTTTGTATTTTTTCTCGAAATGCTCCATATTTTGTGGTCGATGGCGTATTAAAAGTGCATGTAAGTGATTTTGAAACGCTTCAAAGTCGTTTGGTGGTTTCCATGAAACTGTCCTTGCTCCGACAAAATAAAACGGAACAGTGTCGTTTATCGTCATTTTCTCGCACGGAAACGACTGAGTCCCATGGTGTCCAGCTTCCAAACAACTAAACTGTCGCAATTCCTATATCACTAGCTCTTGGAAGCAAGAGTCGACTGCCCAAAACTGATACTGCAATACATCTACATATATTGGGGATAACATCACAGCGGCATAAACATTGGTCTCCACACAGTTCCTCATTCACGACGGTAAAGGCGCACGACTGCGCTAAACGTTCGTATAAAACACTAATCATACAGGACTGCAACTCGCCTTCGTCTTCCCGACGTTGGCTGAGCAAAGTTAAAGGGTAAACAGGATAAACAAAAGGACACCACATAAAGTGACTGCGTCGGTTCAGTCAGACATACGAAACTCGCGTAAAGGCTGGTGTTCTCCAGGGTATAGTACTTGGTCCCCAATTGTTTTCATTTCTCACGCAAGACCGACTGGGTCAGTCCGACCCTAGCGGCAAACCACCGCTCACCTAGCTGTGGAGTTTTGCTATTAATTCGCCAAAACTCATTAACTTGACCGGTGGTTAGCTGCTCGCAACACGTTCTGCCTTTAATTGACTGACCAATACGCGTCTCGCCTGTCATTGGTTAATCACAACACATCGGATGTGATTGGTTGAGCCCTGCACGTGCCGCCTCTGATTGGCTACCGGGACACCTGTCGCTCGCGCGGCTCGGCGGCGCGCTCTGCCATTGGTCCGGAGCGCTGCTGCGCGGCGCTGTACTGGCGGATCAGGCGTGCTATCTCTGCCGCGTTCTCCGTCTGCATCCGGATGACCTTGGCCTGTTTGGGCGTGCCGACCTTGACGTCGATATAGAGGTCCCCGGCATCGGAGCGGACCCGACGCGTGGAGAGCACCTCGCTGAACGGGTACTGGCTCTGAGTCTCCTGTAGACAAATAGACCCTCGTGAGCGTTCTGCATCGTCCGATCATGTTCCCTGAATGGCGACGCTACGTTCCAGCACATTCATTTACCTGTGAACCTGCTTCTTTGAGAATATTAAAAGGCCGCTGAGCAAAAGTAACAGAAGCATGATTGAAAGTTTCGCAAGCACATTGGTCATCCCAGCAACTGGTGCCTAGCATTATCTACCAATCACGTCTGTGACAACGGGCGTGACTAACATGTACATTTTGTAACGATATGTTATGTGACTCACATGTAACAAGTATGACTCACATATGTAACAGATCGTGACTGTGACTGTGACCGTAACGCTGTGACTCACGTGTGTGACTGTATCTAGTAGGTGCAGTCCGTTACTGTTGGTGACTGTGACTATGACTCTGACTCACGTGTGTGACGGTATCTAGTAGGTGCAGTCCGCCACTGTTGGTGACTCTGACTCTGACTCCGACTCACGTGTGTGACGGTATCTAGTAGGTGCAGTCCGCCACTGTTGGTGACTCTGACTCTGACTCCGACTCACGTGTGTGACGGTATCTAGCAGGTGTAGCCCGCCACTGTTGGTGACTCTGACTCTGACTCACGTGTGCGACTGTATCTAGTAGGTGCAGCCCGTCACTGTTTGTTGGTGACTGTGACTCTGACTCTGACTCTGACTCACGTGTGTGACTGTATCTAGTAGGTGCAGTTGAGTCCACCACTGTTGGTGACTCTGACTCTGACTCACGTGTGTGACGGTGTCGAGGAGGTGCAGCCCGCCACTGTTGGTGACTCTGACTCTGACTCACGTGTGCGACTGTATCTAGTAGGTGCAGCCCGTCACTGTTTGTTGGTGACTGTGACTCTGACTCTGACTCTGACTCACGTGTGTGACGGTGTCTAGTAGGTGCAGTCCGCCACTGTTGGTGACTGTGACTCTGACTCTGACTCTGACTCACGTGTGTGACGGTGTCTAGTAGGTGCAGTCCGCCACTGTTGGTGACTCTGACTCTGACTTTGACTCTGACTCACGTGTGTCACGGTATCTAGTAGGTGCAGTCCGCCACTGTTAGTGACTGTGACTCTGACTCTGACTCTGACTCACGTGTGTGACGGTATCAGTAGTAGGTGCAGCCCGTCACTGTTGGTGACTCTGACTCTGACTCACGTGTGTGACGGTATCTAGTAAGTGCAGCCCGCCGCTGTTGGTGACTCTGACTCTGACTCTGACTCACGTGTGTGACTGTATCTAGTAGGTGCAGTCCGCCACTGTTGGTGACTCTGACTCTGACTCCGACTCACGTGTGTGACGGTATCGAGTAGGTGCAGTCCGCCGCTGTTGGTGACTCTGACTCTGACTCTGACTCACGTGTGTGACGGTATCTAGTAGGTGCAGCCCGCTACTGTTGACGGCCAGCAGTCTGTCCGTGGCCGCCTCTCCGCGGCTCTCCGGAGCGGCTCCTACCACGAAAAACGCCGAGCCGAACAGCGGCCAGCCGCGCAGGGTCTCTGTGGACAGGACGTGTTCGTTACTTATCAGAGATTGACAGTGGTGGAAGAGGCACGGCATCATCAGTCGTCATAAATGGGAGATCACAATGACTGGGATATGCCGGGCGGAGGATATTCTGGCTCTGTGGAGGGGCACATTCAATACGAGTATACAACGACCTCCTGAGAAAACCAGAACAATTGATGTAGTATAGCGAGATGACCTCAGAAAAACTGTCATGATAGATCCAACCATTAATGCAGCTATTACTCATCCAACCCCCTATGAAATACGTTTCTCAGATCACTTCGCCTCTGTCGTCACTCCGCTCCAGTCCATGATACCTCATCCCAGGCCCTTTAACCCATCTCCCTCCATCACTAACCGAGTACTGCCCGTCGCGCCTCTGCGGGCGTCTTGTCCTGCACCTCGGACCAGCTGTCCTGTACCATGTTCACCCACTGGGGCGGCTTGATGTCGCGCACCAGCAGCGCAGCCTTGGGCAGCAGATGTTTCGTCTCCTTGATGGTCGGCATCGAGCGGAGCCCGGCCGACCGGTGCAGCAGCGCCGCCACGCGGGCAATGTCGAACTAAGGGTACACGGAGGCGCCGTCAGGTGGCGGGGTGGAGACCGAGAATAGCGATCATTACACACAGCATGCTACTGAATTACTATTGACCCCTCACAGGCTGCAGTTGCAACATCACGGCTCTCCGAGATGAAACTAACTTTCATTCCTGAGACATAATATCAAAGTGCAGAGCTGAGCATCGGCGTCAACAGCATACGTTCATCGTTTAATGACGCTCCCTGGTTCATTCTCTCTACTCTATCTACCACCCTAATAACCACTACCACGCTCTTGGACATCAGACTGTTGCTGTCCTCATGACTTTCTTAACAGGGTGTCTGGCTTAGTTAACCCGCGACCTTTACCACGACGCTCTGGGGCAGTGTCTCTGGGCTAAACTCTCCGCGACCCTTACCACGACGCTCTGGGGCTGTGTCTGTAGTTAAGTTTCCCCACGACCCTTACCACGACGCTCCGGGGCAGTGTCTCTGGTTCAGTTTCCCCACGACCCTTACCACGACGCTCTGGGGCAGTGTCTGTATAGTTCAGTTTCTCCGCGACCCTTACCACGACGCTCTGGGGCAGTGTCTCTGGTTAAGTTTCCCCACGACCCTTACCGCGACGCTCTGGGGCAGTGGGGGCAGTGTCTGTATAGTTCAGTTTCTCCACGACCCTTACCACGACGCTCTGGGGCAGTGTCTGTTTGTCTGTTTACTGTTCAGTTTCCCCACGACCCTTACCACCACGCTCTGGGGCAGTGTCTCGGCGGGTAGCACCAGCAGCAGTCCCTCCAGGTAGTCGGGCGTGACCTGACTGAACAGCACGTCCAGGTACGGAGCAGAGTCCAGTCGCAGCGGGAGGGACCACACGGTCCGACACAGCACCAGGTGGAACATCTGCCGAGAGACAGAGAGCACAGACCGGGTGAGACGGCGACCGCCGAGCCGAGGGGACGGAGCAGGGCTGGGTGAGGAGGGCTGAGATTGGGTGACTGCAGACACGAGAGACGATAGAAAACATGACTTGCGGTCAAACGAAGCAATTGCTGAATTGGAAACCACGTGAAACACATGTTACTGAGGGAATGATGCTCCTCGTAAAACAGAGTTGAACGCACCGTTTCCCGTTTCCAGAATTTACTATTGGAACTGCTCGTCCTGTTTGCTTTTTACTCCAAGATCTGCCTCTATCTCATCGGACTGTCATCGTTCCCCATCTATTTCAAGTTTATTCCTTCGTTCATCTTCATTTCCCTTCCCGCCCTATCTACCGTGTTGTACCCCTCAGCCCCCTCCAACCCTCCGTACCTGTTCGTTCCTCTCCAGCTCTGTGGTCACATCCAGAACGTACTCGTGCCGGGCGAGGGGCAGAGTGAAGGCGTCCCCCTCGACCACGCAGTAGAGGCTGAACTCCTCCAACTCGTCCTCCGTGGTAACTCCCAACTCGCGGCAGAGTTCAACCAGCACGTTCTGGGGAGAGGCGGTGACATGATGAACGAAATACTGCGTGAGTAGTGGCACGATACGTGTCTCAGGACGGCTTGGAGAGGTTAATATACGATACAGAGCATTCTGCTGCTGTTCGATATTGAACATTGAACGTTCGATTTTGACTGAGCAAATCATGTGCAACTAATATAGGTACCACGACACAGGATACAAGAGGCTGACATCTTGTGGGACGCTGTGGATATCCCTGGACACAACGGGACGGCATAGGATCCTCTGATTCTGGACATCATCCCTCGGCTTCTCCCTTTCCTGTACCTATACATGTACCGCGGTGGTACCCCTGGTGCTGACTGTACATATACCGGTCGGGGTACCGTACTAACCTGTACCACGGCGGTACCCCTGTGGCTGGTGCTGACTGTATACCGCTCGGGGACTCACCTGTACCACAGTGGTACACCTCGTGTTGACTATGCGCTGTGTACCGCCGGGCAGCAGGTACCGCTGTCGGCGCGCGGTACACCCGGCCGTCACCGCGGCAATTTCTTCCTCTGAGGGAACGTTCCTCCGACCTCCGAGCCGCAGCGTTTGGCGGAGGTTCTGCAGACTCACGGCGGCAGTACCTGCGGCGAAAAGGGCCTCCGGTCAGGTCAGATCGTAAAACAACATGCGCGACTGCAGAGACAGTGCAGCAATGAAATCAGGTCACAGAAGGCGGATCGGGCTTCTGAGTCATGAAGACATCGACAAAAATATCACCGATATCCAAGACGAAACAGCGGCCACCCGGATAAATGTCTTAGCTTCTAGACCTTAGCAAGTAATACCTACTTCTGCCTTCATCCCAACACGAACCGGGTTCTCTTACGTCAGTGTCACAAACTTATTCCTTATATCGCTTCTCTGGTATGTCCTCCGTCTCCGTACCTCGGTGCGCCCGGCGCGGATCCTGCGCGGTTGTCTCCAGGTACTTCTGCAGGTAGGGCCGCAGGCTCTCCGAGCAGGGGAAGAAGGCAGCCACCAGGCTGAGAAGGCGCCAGCCGCGCGCGCACGAGTCGGCCTGCGAGGACCGGTTACTGGTGGTCTGACGCATCAGCTGACAGTACACCTCGTCACGGAGGGCGGGGTACCGGTGACAGGCCTGGGGGACACGGGGAGTGGTGGTTAGACCTCGTCACGGAGGGCAGGGTACCGGTGACAGGCCTGGGGACACGGGGGGGGGGGAGCATTGGTTACACCTCAGCACGGGGTACCGGTGAAAGGCCTGGAGGACACGGGGAGTAGTGGTTAGACCTCGTCACGGGGTACCGGTGAAAGGCCTGGGGGCAAGGGAGTAGTGGTTAGACCTCGTCACGGGGTACCGGTGAAAGGCCTGGGGGCACGGGAGTAGTGGTTAGACCTCGTCACGGGGTACCGGTGAAAGGCCTGGGGGCACGGGAGTAGTGGTTAGACCTCGTCACGGAGGGCGGGTAACCGGGGAGCTGGGGGACACGGGAGTAGTGGTTAGACGTCGTCACAGCCCTGGAGGAGATGAGGGGACATTGGTCACCGGTCAGCGATACTGGAACCTGGAATACGTCACTAACCGTTACATCGACGGTCACTTCTGGTGGGGAAGCGGCTATTTTCAATATTATAGGCGTGAGAACCTCGACATAAAACGTTTCACGAAAATACCAGCACAAAAACTGGCCGGGCGCACCGCGGTTCGAACCGGCGCCGCGAGGATGAGTCTCGCCCTTACGCTCAAAATCACAAATATTACGCTGTTTGGTGAAAATGCAGCCAAAATATTTGCATCCCCACACGCATGGTAGCTTGGCGGACACTTCGAACGATTCAAAAAGCCCGCCTGCCGCGCCACAGTGTATAGTTTCCTTATCGGAGTGCTTGCGCAAGTATCAGTACATATGAAACCGGGCGGGCAGGCGGACCGGCAGGGTACGCTCCGGCGGCCGACCGGCCCGGCGGCGGACCGGTGACGTCATCAGATAAACATGTGACGTCACATGTTTTCCCAAGGAAACATGATATGGCCTGCAGGACACGTGACAGGCCTGGTGAACACGGGGAGCAGTGGTTGCAGTTTGCACCTCGTCACGGAGGGCGGGGTACCGGTGACAGGCCTGGGGGGCACGGGAGTACCTATGTAGTGGTTAGACCTCGTGCTCGTCACGGAGGGCGGGGTACCGGTGACAACCCTGGGAACACGGGGAGCAGTGGTTACACCTCGTCACGGAGGGCGGGGTACCGGTGACAGGCCTGGGGGCAAGGGGAGCAGTGGTTACACCTCGTCACGCGGTATTTACCGGTGACAGGCCTGGGGGACACGGGGGGAGCAGTGGTTACCTACGCCTCTTCACAGCCCTGAGATATGGAGGACAGAAGTCACTGGTCAGCGATACCTTCTGGTCCCTGGAATGCGTCACTAACCGTTATAGGTATGAGAAGTGAGAATCTCGATATGAAACGTTTCACGAAAATTCCAGTACAAAAACTGGCCGGGCGCACCGCGGTTCGAACCGGCGGCGCGTGGAAGAGTCTCGCCCTTACGCTCAAAATCACAAATATTACGCTGTTTGGTGTAATTGCAGCCAAAATCTATACATTCCCACACGCATGGTAGCTTGGCGGACACTGTGAACCATTCAAAAAGCCCGCCTGCCGCGCCACAGTGTATAGTTTCCTTATCGGAGTGCTTGCGCAAGTATCAGTACATATGAAACCGGGCGGGCAGGCGGACCGACAGGACAGGTTCCAGCGGCCGACCGGCCCGGCGGCGGGCCGGTGACGTCATCAGATAAACATGTGACGTCACATGTTTTCCCAAGGAAACGTGATAGGGTCGGGCTGTGCTGGTAGACGTGTAGGAAGCCGCCGAAACATCTCACGGTTCGAAACATCTCCTACTCCACATCATCAATACCTGTCTTACCTCATGTGATTTTCCCGAGACCTGGAAACACTCTCTGGTGTACCTATCCTATTTTCAAATCCGGCGATCCCTCTATTATTTCCAACTACCGCCCCATTTCCTTAGTCCCCACCATGGCCAAGATTGTGGAGCGTGTGGTGCAGCGTCAGCTGTTTACTTACATGTCTCACAATCATCTCCTATCCTCATCCCAACATGGCTTCCGTCCTCAACATTCCACAGAAACCGCTCTGCTGTCCGTCACAAACCGCATCTTTTCAAACATGGACCGAGGTCACGTCTCCCTTTTGTGCCTTTTGGACCTCAGTAAATGTTTTGACATGATTCCTCATTCCCAACTCCTAACCAAGCTCCAGCTCTACAACATCGATCCTTCTTGGTTCTCCGCATACCTTTCCGGTCATACTCAGTCAGTCTCCATTTGTACTTCCTCCGGCAGCAGAGTGGCTTCTAAACCTCTTCCTAACACCATGGGAGTTTTCCAGGGCTCTGTCCTTGGTCCTCTGTTGTTCACAATATTCGCCAACGACCTCAGCCTGCACGCGCCGGACGCCCATGTGATCCAGTACGCTGACGATACCCAAATCCTTATGTCCGACTTGAAACAAAACATCCCACTCCTCATCCAGCGCATGGAAAACACCCTGGCCTCCCTTTCATCGTGGTTCCATGCACACGGCCTTAACCCTCGCCCGCACATGCCATTTTCCCATCCTAGAACGCACATGGGGGGGGGGGGGTGGTTGCCACCCCCCCGCGCCATTTCCGTTCCTGTTGGAGATAGAGCTTAGCAGTAAAGACCAAAAAGATTCTTTGGGAAGAGACAAATCCAATGATACCCAGTTTTACCTTCTCAGGTCAGTCATTGACCTTCCAGGTCAGGTCAAACTAAAAAATGTTGCTGTTTTGGGTCACCGTTGGATATCAAGTGCGCTGCTTATCAAATACCGATGACGATGCTGTTTTCTGGTGCCAAGCCAGCTAGAACCTCTTTGTCGCACTATCCGACCAGAATTTTGCTGCTGAGGTCATTTCAGGTCAAGTTAGGTCAAGGTCAATTATATGTGTTTGTATGTCTGTGTGTGTCTGTGTGTATACTGATGTGTGCACCGATTGTTTTTGGGTCCATATCACATGAAATCATGTTCTGAGAAGCTTTTACCAAAAATGCAGTCAAAAAACTTCACAAAAAGTAAATTCAGCTTCCCTAAAACGCAATTAGGGGAAAGTGGGGTAAGACGGTCAAGGTAGGTAAGACGGGCACCCCCTCTGCAGACCAAACCAATAGCGCTACGAGCGAGAAAAATTAGGACCAGAATAGCCTTTCCCACTACACACCGCCATTGAAGTCTGGTGAATTTGTGTTCGGTCAATAATCTTTTATTTTGATTTCTTTAAAACACTCATTTCATTGAAAACATTCATAATGTATTGTGCAAGCTTTTGTGTGCAGCACTATAGAGTTAAAAACTGGCAATCACTTGTGGCACACTCATATGCCTCCAGTGTTCATTCACCGCGGATTTGCTTTGTCTGCATCAAATTGTCCACAGAGAAAAATCGTGCTGAACTTCTGACATTGAGTTTGGGGTAAGACGGGCAACTATGAATCCGATGGGTCTGTAATGGTAAAAATATTTTTGTTGCTGTAGGAAAAAAGAAGCATTTCTGATAAGAATATGTTCGATTCCGATACTCACAGACATGTTAGCAATATTCCTTCGGCACAGTTTATTCTCGAATAATGAATGTGAAAAACGGCTCTACATGGCTTCTGAACTAGGGCCTATCCTATACGAGTATACGCCTTCTGCACGAATCTCGTATACTGCCATTTCCGAAGCACTTGAGACCAACGAGCGACTGTATCAATGCGGCTAATCTCGGGCATTTGCTGCGAGCTGTGCTGGTCGGTGAAAGAAGCTGGCCGTCTTGCCCTACCCATGTGACCGTCTTACCCCATGGAGTGGGGTAAGATGGGTTTTTGCAAGGTTTTGCAAAAATAGCTGCAGTTTATTTGTTGAGTCAGGTCTAAGTCTCATCTTCTGGCAAATGGAAGTAAAATGTCTGTAAAAGGTTTTCACTCAGTTTCCCGTTTCTATGATGTTTCTAACCGGCCGAAAAATGGCTCCAAAGTTAAGGTGCCCGTCTTACCCCACTTTCCCCTATCTTAGATGACCTAGGTTGACCTTGACCCTGACCTTGACCCCTGTACATCGTCGAACAACATGTTCCATGATAGGTGGGAGGTAAGACTGGCAAAAAAGGCCGAAATCAGGGTGTCAAAAGCTCACAAGGCCCATGGCAAACGCAAGATGTTGAGAATTGGCCATTTGGGTCATGACATGACCTGAAAAACAAGGTCATATCTCCGAAACCAAAAATCACAGAAACTTGAAATTTTCAGTGGACATCAAGAAAAGATAGACGAGCAGCTATACGAAAAATCAGCCTTCTAGCTCTAAAAATGTTGAGTGCAGAGCAGAAAGACTGCCTGGGGGGGTGGCAACCACCCCCCCCCCCCCATGTGCGGGCGAGGGTTAAGCTCAACACCTCCAAAACCGAACTCCTTCTCCTTGGAACCAAGCAAAACACCCGCAACCTCGCCCCTGTCAGCGTACGGATCGGTGGGGAGACCGTTCGGGAGAGTCACACAGTGAGGAACCTGGGTGGGATTTTTGACCGGCACCTCACCTGGGATGCACATGTGAGTGACATCATTCGCAGGTGCACTGGCCTCCTTATCGGTCTCCGTCACCTGAGGCATTTCCTCCCGCAGCCGGCACTTCTAGCTGTTGTTCAGGGGCTGATCATCTCGCGCCTCAGGTACTGCGTGGCTGTGTACGGCAACGGGTCGGCCGCGAACGATACGAGACTTTTAAAAGTTCTTAACTTCGCGACTCGTGTCGTCACCGGTTTGAGAAAGTATGACCACATTTCTCGCGCCCGTAATGACCTGCGGCTGCTCTCGCCGCGACAGATGTTTGAGCTGAGGACTTTGACAACAGCCTACAATGTGCGTGCCAGTGGTGAGCCTGCCGAGCTCGCCTCTCTGTTCACGACCTTTTCTGAAGCACGAACCTGTGAGCGTGTGACACGATCGGATTCACGCCTACGACCCCCTGCCACGCGCACAGTGGCCGGCCAACGCTCGTTTGGTTACCGAGCAGTGTCGCTGCTGAACCGGTTGCCGGTGGGGGCCATGGAGCTAGACTCGCGGGGCTTCAAGCGCGCTGCTAAGGCACTTGTTCTGTCATAGCTTTTATGTGTACATGTGAGCGTGCAGGTATGACTGTGATACTATCTGTGATTTTTTGACAAGTTTCCTACCCATGTTTTAACTTTGTAACAACTGACACAGAATAGCCACGTCTGCACTGTGGAGTGTCTGCGGAAGTCGTAAATAAATAAATAAATAAAAACGGTATCCCTCGGTGTTGTGTCTTGGGACTGGGGACCTACGAGATGCTCCCTGCCCGTCGCTCTCCCCCCCCCCCTCTCTCTCTCTCTCTCTCTCTCTCTCTCTCTCCCTCCCTCTCCCTCTCCCTCTCCCTCTCCCTCTCCCTCCATTTTCTCACCATGAGAACCGTGTAGACGCAGTCCACATCTGTGACCTCTCGGGGCAGAGTCTGGTCGCCCATGTACCGCTGGATGGCCGAGAAACTCTCCACGGCCAGTCGCGTCAGCTCCGGAGGACTCAGCTTCAGCAGCGAGACGCGGAGCGGACGGTCGGTCCACTTGACTAGCTCCACCTGACGGGAGGGTCACATGAGGTCACATGAGGTCACATGAGGTCACGTGAGGTCATAACGGACGGACGGTCCACTTGACCAGCTCCAGCTGACGGAGGAGGTCACGTGAGGTCACATGAGGTCACGTGAGGTCACAGGGACAGTCGGTCCACTTACCAGCTATACCTGACGGAGGAGGTCACGACTCAACGAGGTCACATGATGTCTGGACATGGGAGCCCGCAAGGAGCTGTTGATTTCAAAGGAGACTTAGGGACTGGACTGCAGTAGAGGCGATACTTTAACAAGAGATTATGAGCGCTGAGGTTTCAGGACATGGCCATTGAGAGAAGATTCCTTGAAGACAAACGGGTCACCTAGCAAAACTTTTGAAGACAAGGGGTGATTAATGACAAGCGCTCAATGAGCTCTGATCGACTATTTACTCTCACATCAACCGATCAATTTTAATTTGACCAACAGGTAGCACAGTGCAGCAGTACGGTCTAATTAATTACCTGTTCCCGCCATGTCCAGTCCTCCTTGCCTTTCTTCTTGTTCTTCTTGTTTTTGGTTTCCAGCATCTTTGAGTGCGCTCCGTCCTCGTCCTTGACAAGATTGTACCTGACATCAGGAGACATTGCAACATGTCACGCTGGAAAACGTCCTATTTTGAAACTGCAGATCATACATGAGGTCGTCGATTGGTATGTCATGTGTTCAATTATAGATGTTTTGTTGCATAAATTCATATATTATTTTTTAAACAACAAAACTATCCGAGAAGCAGGTGTAGTACGGTTCTCCCGTAAGTTAATCAGCTTTGTTGAGCTCTTATTACTGTGGTGCGGAGGCTCGGCGACACTATCAACGATAATAGTGTTATCGCGACGCTGCATTTCTAAAACGGCTCCCAACAGCTTGCCGATCTAGTCTGGATCTTTGAGAGCTGAACTTACCTCTCTTCGGCACCTCTGAAGTTCGTCATCGCGAACTGCAGCAGTGAGTGTTTGCCATCGTCGACCGCTGACCCAGAGCCCTGGCTGTGATTGGCCGAGTCCTGGCTGTGATTGGACGAGTCGCCGTCTGACTCCGCCCCCTGGCGCTCCTCGTCCAATGGCTCGGCGATCCACGCGTCAGGCTCCTCTGCGTTGCCATGCTCAAGGTCACTGACGGGCTGCAAGAAGAGATGCAAAGTTGTCACCAGAAGCTACATAATAGCTGGGAACTATGGGGGATTAACTCACGGGACTGCAAGCACACTCGTCATCATGACACAGTTTTTTTCCGGATATAACGAGCGTAAAACATCCGAGCGCTCCATGACGAAGCCCGAGTATCATCATCGATTGTGTCTGCGGGATCTCCATGGTCATTAATTAGCGAAAGTTCTAAGAATAACTTTCTTTTCAGATCGTTTTAAGCAAAAGACTGATCTTGATAACTTCCATTTCAGGGCAGGTTCCGTCGGTCATAAACCCTGGCTGCTGCGGTGCAAAGGAGCCGTAGTGCCTACGGATTTAATACATACATACATGCATACATAAATGTCTGACCATCCGTTTAAGCCACTAGGTCATCCGTCACTCCAGAGGCTCCGCAGACTGACCGGCAGCTGACCTGACCGGAGTGCATGCATCCGGATTTAACCGGTACATTACCGGGTGAAAGTGCCGACTGCCGCCAGTGATAAGCAATAAGCATAGCCACCGCGGTACGGAACGCTGCTGACTGCTGTCTGTATGTCTGTCTGTGTGTGGAGCCAGGAGCTTAGTGGGTCACACTCACATCTAAACCAGAGTCAGTCTCGTAAATTTCCTACTAGCTGTTTAGGCCGTCATCAATTCAGCACAGCGCTGCGCTCGCTCATCCAGCACTTTGTTCCCACCCGTTACCTATTCAGAACCAACTGCCGACACTGCGTCAAACGCCGTCACTATTCGCACGTCACGGCCCTGTAACGTCCCGCCACGGTACCATAACGGCCAGTCAGCTGCTGCAGAGCCGTGACGCGGAGTTTGTGTGACGCCGTGCGGTAGGTGTCACACGGTACGGTATCGTCCCTCCCGTACTGAGCCGGGTGGACCGGGTGTAGTGTGGTGGGCGGTCCGCTGTTGAACCGTTAGTACGGCCATATGGTGCCTCAGTCGCACTGGACGGCGCGTGCCGGAGTCCGGACCGCGCGCTGGGTCAGGTCAGGTCAGGTCGGGTCAGGTCAGGTCAGGTCAGGTCAGGTCGGGTCAGGTCGGTCGGTGGAACATCCGGGGCCAACAGGTCGGGCTGAGCGGCAGTTAAGCAGCTTGTCGAGTTAATCATATATGTAGGTGCCGGACCTCAGGTCGGCTCAGACTTAACCTTAACGGATTCAAATCGTACCTGTATGCAGCAATCCAAACATATTTTCACTGTGTGCACACGTGTGCACACTTGCTTGCACACCTGGCTTATTACACCGGCTCTGGCTCTATTTGAGTAAATTTATTGCACGGCCGGCTGGTTACAGCGCCGTTTCTGCTGCACGGATCACCGAGCAAATGTAAATCCAGAACGAAACAGCCATCCGCGGCCGTCTTCAGAGTTAAGCTCCATAACTCCTAATGGATTACCCGGCTATAATTAGAGCTCTGATTGACCATTTTTAGAGTGGGAGTAAACGTTCAAGAGAAATTAGCAGCAGTTATCATGTGTGATGTGACTGCTAGGCTCAAGTTTGGACATCGGCTACTTGAATGAAGGATAAGCCACCCATGTGGCTGGAGGGATGGGGAACATCTGGTTTGCGAAGCGGAGCCCACGTGGCTGAGGGGACGGGAACCCAAGAGACTGAATGGTAAGATAATCCTCAAAGCTGGTGGGGACGGGCACCGGACACGGGCCACGTGGTTGAAGTTACGAGCTATGGAGAACTGTTTTCACATGAGTGGCCCCCTGTCCCCCCCCCCCCTCCTAATACCACCGTCTGTCAGGGTGGAATGTATGACGTTATCCACACCCTATCTGAGCGGAACTATCGGGCCGTCCGTCGCGGCTCCATCCAGTGGTATGTACCGTCAAGGTCGCTCCGCTGAGTCCGGACACACGGACGCGTGGCGGACACGGACACATGGCGGACACACGGACACGTGGCGGACACGGACACATGGCGGACACGGACACATGTCGGACACACGTGACACGGACTCCTGGATACATATCGGTGACGTCGGACACAGACCGAGTCCGACACACTGCCCTGCCAAAGTCCGTCTTTAGATACCAGAGTAACCTCCTTTGATCACGTTGGGAATCTACGAAGTGGGAATAGGTAGATCAAGAGAAAACTTACTTTAACCACTATTTATGGACACAATTTGACACGCCTCTCATCAGACTTGGTTTCAGTTTTCACTGCTGACCCAGTAAACCGAACGATCACCAGATCTGATCAAATCTAGCTCCTGCGACCCCTCCTTTCCCAACTCTCGGCGATTCTTTCCGGATCAGTGCACTTTCAGACATGGATCTGGGTCTGAACGCACACCTCCAATCGTCGCAGACCGATCTAGGCGTGTTCCCGATCCCAGTGCGGCTGACCGCCGTACCGGGCAGGCACAGTGACCGATTTTACGGGTGAGCGCGCCACGCCGCCGCCGCCGCCGCCGCCGTCAAACCGTCACCGTATAGCGGACACTTCGGACGGGGGTGGATAGTGGTTACACGGTCGGACTGAGCTGAACGCCGGCCTTCAGGTGGCGGTTACACGGTCGGAATGAGCTGAGCGCCGGCCTAGAGAGGCAGTCGGCAGACCGGAGAGTTTCGGCAAATTGGAGAGTTTCGATTTATCGGCAAACGACGGTTTACATGTGTGTAGAGCAGCCTGAGACTAAACGGAATTGCCCGCAGAGACGGGCCATGCACGGCTCGGTTGTCTGATGCTGGACAATTCACACTGGCGTCTGTAGTTCGAACTACGATAGCATGCATTCGCGACGCATACTTTCCCTATGCGGGAGATTCGTCCGAAAAGCCTGAACAGGGGCGTGGGAACTACTTTCCGACTGGGGGGGGGGGGGGGCACACCATAATAGAGATTAACCTAGGGTACCCCCAAATCTAGGTTTCTCACCGGTTTTAGGCCACTTATTTTTCACCCCTCGGATTTTTCAACAAAAAAAGAAAACATTTGCAAAAAAAGTGTGGTATTCCGTCTCAAAGCTGTGGGGGCACCGCCCCCACGGCCCCAGAGTTGGGGGGGGGCAAGCTGCCCCCACTGCCCCCCCCCCCCGGCTCCCGCGCCTATGAGCCTGAAGTTGGCCGCCGTTTTTTAAGCTTAAGGCATTAGCATTTCTATTTTGAGAGATAATATCATTTGCTTGTGGGTAGGTAGCTCTGAAAAGCATTGAACGCTGGGAGTAGCCCAACGGGCAAAAAATTCCAGGTTCCGTTCCGGGTTTCGAACCCACATGCTGTGGATGAGTCAGGCATCAAATGCTTAAAACGATTGACAAGACACTTCTTGCTATAAATTCCGCCTATAGATAAACATCACAATGTGTTGCATGCCACAGCGGACACTTTTAATAAGCCAAAAGCCCGCCTGCACCGCCAGAGACAAGTATTATCCATTTCATTGTGCTTGCGCAAGTATCAGTACGTAGTGACCGGACGGGCAGGCGAGCCGACTGGAGCGGCTCCAACGGCGGACCGGCTCGGCGGCGGGCCGGTGACGTCATCCGTGACGTCATACCACCCAGTCCAAACAGCGGACGGCCGACCCTCCATCGGCGGCACGGCGGTGTGGCCGCTCCAAGAAAGGCAGTGCCCGTCGCCAGCGGTAGGGACGGCGATCGGCGCTACCCGCCCGGATAATGGGCTATTGTGTCCCCATTGACCGGGAGGGGGAGGGACGGGGTGCCGGACCGTGTGGTGAAGGGGAGTGGTGGGGAGGAGGGAGGGGAATGCAGAGGGGAGGGAGCGGGAGGCCGGAGGGATTGAAGGACGTAATGGAACGGATGCAAGGATGAAGACAGGAAGAAGGGAATGGGTGAGGACGGGAAACAGAGCAGACGCATTGCTTCGCAGGATCCTAGGGCACGTCAACAGCGAGGTCAGTATGCGTCCATCGCGGACACTGGAGTGAAGACGAGGAGAGGAAGAGAAGAATGCAGTCTGGCAACCCCTACACTCCGTCACTAGTCCGTCAACAGACGAACCAAGCCACTTCTGATCGGTCCCACAGAACGGCTAACGGTTGCCGATACCACAGAATGCCCGACTACGCAGCCCGTTTGGCGGCGGGGTGGTGCCGCCCGGAACCCGGCGTAACGGTTTCGTCAACCAGCTGTTGTCGTTTGGTGCGATCTGAACAAATCATGTTCCGCTCCACGTGCCTTGATAATGGACCATTACCGCCCAGCGAAATGCACGCAATGGCGATAAACAACTCATCCAGCGATGAAGCGAATGATGTGAGGAAATGAACAACTGAAGGCGAAGGAACGGGGGATGCATCGGGATAAGATAAGCAAAAGTGGTTCCGCACAACCTGGGGGTAAACGCATACCGAAAATGCTTAGGTTCAAGTGTAATAATGAGGTCTCCAGACTCCCCAGTCATAACAGGAAGAAGTGGCCGAAATGAAGCGCTATATGATGCCCTTAAGTGGTCATAAAAATTATCGCTGTAATGACCCAGTGGCCTCGTAATTGTCAACGCAATGTCAGAAAGGGACTTTCACCGAGGATGCTGGTTGGTAATTTACAAGGGGAGGCCTACCGAAGAAACGGTTTCACATCAGCTGGAGGTAGACTCGTCAGCCCTTTCCACAGTTTATCTCAAGCCCCCTATTTAGCACTCACCGGTTCCACAAAACGCGAGCTGACCAGCTCCCTGACGGAGGGCACCCGCACCGGCAGCGCCTCCAGCGCCGACCTGCGCAGGCGGTAGTTCCTCTCGCTACCGTTGGTGTCGCTGCCTGCCACCGAGGACGCCGTCCCATTGGCCGTCTCCTCGGAGGTCACTGACCCGGCCGGGGCAGACTCCGCTGAGGTCACGTTGCTCGTGTCAGCAGAGGCGGGGGCAGAGACGGCAGCTTGTGTGGCGTCAGGTGCAGGGGCGGCAGCTGGAGCGGGGTGCATCACTGCGGGCCGCGCGGGAGGCGTCGGCGGCAGCTCGGGCTTCGTTTCAGGGAGGTTCCTCCGCGCTGCATTCACCTCGCTGATTGACTCGTAGAGCGCCTGGCGCTTGGCCACACTGCCTCGCTGTATCTCTGCTTCTGCCGTCCACGACTGAGCGGATTCCGGACCTCTGGCTGGACTGACCTCTTCTTTCTTTCCGGCTGACTCAATTCCAGAACCTTTGACTGAACCATTTTGGACACTGGAGGAATTTCTGTGGCCATGGATATCCCTGGGTTGACTTGCATGGTCCTCTTGAGTCTCAGTCGGCGGAGACTCACCAGACAGCTCTCGGGGACGGTCCTTGGGGAACTTCACCACCCGCGTTCCAAACCGATCTCGCCTCTTCGGGATGGCACCCGTGTGAGGTCCCGGTTCCAGTGGCCATTCTTTATTTGCTGAACTTTTGGCATCTGCCTCGGAGCTTGAAGGGGAGTCTGGGAGTTCACTGACTTCAGGGTACGAGTTAGGGCTAGATCCATGAGAAACATTAGACGGTTCAGGGGAAGAAAGCAGCTGGTTTTGTTTTGACTTGGAGCTCCTCGATGACTGAGCTGAGTGCAAGCTCTCAGAGTCTATATGCCTCTTTTCTCTTTTGCTACCATCTTCCTGGATAGCTTTTGGAGCTGGTGTTTTCGTTCTCGTTTTCTTGTTATAAGACCCTTTGGTCTTGCTCACAACCACCGGTTCCACGGTTATACCGTTTTCGACATATGTGATTCTCTTGTTGCCATCTTCCATGCTCGTTACCTCGACGAAGTGTGTGACGGTTCTGGATGTTCGACTTGTGGACCTGTCATCTTCACTTTCCTCAATATTTGTCTTAGACGACTCTCTGTGACTAACAGAACTGCTGTGGCTACTGCGGTAATCATCAGGTGACTCTCTGAGGCCGCCATCAGTACTGAGCTGGTTAGACTTGCCGGAACGCATGGATCGAGGTGAGTTCATCTCTGATGCAGCCGAATCAGGGTCCTGCTTCTGGGATTCGCTTTTGCACGCCAAACAGTTATCGTCATCATCATCTTCAAGACTTTCCGGAACTGTTTCGGGTTCTGTAAAGTCGTTACCATTAGTATGTTTGGAATGTTTTTGGTTACGCACAATATCCTCTTCTTCAATTGATTTACTGTGCAGTTCGTCGTCACCAAAGGCCCGTTTGTTTTCAAGAGATTTCCCATCTCCGTTGGGGCCATGTGAGCCATTCCTTGATGGGGCTGAGCTACGGGTGGGCTCACCTTCGTCTCGTTGCCTCCGTACAGACATGCGACTCTGGCGTCCTCTGGATCCTGCCCTGGGACTCGTCTCAGTACTGGCGCGTCTCTCAGGAGTCTCAGCGCGGCTGGACCTGCCGGCTGCGGGGGTGTTGGACCTGCTCACCCCTCCCCCTCCAGGGGTGTTGGACCTGCTCACCCCTCCCCCTCCAGGGGTGTTGGCCCGGGCCCGCAGTCGCTCCGGAGTGGCCGACCGCGTGATAAAGGCCGCCAGGGAGCGGTACTCCCTATCCGGGGTACCCGACCCCGTCCTCGGACTGCGCGTGCCGTCATCGTCACCTCTCGTTCGGCTGGCGTGCGGCCCCGTCGGAGCCACGTAGAGACCCTGGAAGGTGGTGCCCACGCGGTTGAACCTGCTCGGTGGAGGTCCCTGCGCCGCGGAGGCGGAGGATATCTTCTGCCAGATGGCGGCGCGCGAGTGTCGGACCGACGAGAGGCCATCGGCTCCCAGCAGGGCGTCTGGGGAGCGTTCGTGCGGGGATCCGCCGTGTCCCGAGAGCAGACTGTCGGGCGGACTGCGCGAGCCCTCCACGTGGCTGCGGTCGGAGCGATAGGCGCGGTCCTCGTCCCCGGAGTTGTCGTCGCTCTCCTTCAGCACCGAGAGTCGCTTGCTGAGCTTCTTCCTCAGCGTGTCGCTCACCTCTCCCCAGTTCTTGGTGTAGGAGAACTTGTGACCGCCGCCGGTGGGGACGGGGATGGACGGTGTTGCTGACTCGGAGGACGGAGGCCGAGGCGGCGGTGGATCCGCGTTCTCGGTCTGCAGGGAGCTGAGGTCCGGCATTGCAGAGATTTGTTGTGCTCACAAGCTGCAAGTCCTTCTCTCACAGGCCTCAAACACCCTCAGTCCCAAACAGTCAATCACTGCACAGCTAGTCTATCACTGTCCCAGAAACACACACCGACAGCACCGCAGCGCTACTGTCCCTGCACAGAGCACCACTCCACGTCCCACAGTGCACCCCTCTCCACTCCTCCACTTCGGCCGCCGTCCGGGGCCGGGCCACACCGGCGCCGAGCGCTGCCGCTGACCGACTGCCGCCCACTGTAAGAGCACCAACTGTCGCCCCCAATCTCCTCTAACGGTGTGCGACGCCCGGCCAGTGTGTCCGTGCTGTACAGAGAGCGGCGCCGGCCACCGGCGGCGGACCGACCCGATTCGGTTCAGTGCCTCCCAGCTGAGGGAGGGAGGTGTGCGAGCAGTTCGAAAATGAGACGGTACCGATTTCATCGGGCGTCAAAAATGAGATGGGACCGCTCTCTATCAGAAGAGATTCGCCAAAAATATTGGTATTGTCCCTTTTAGGCAATTGGGGTTAACGAGAATCACCTCGAGATTCAAAGCCGGAAGGATTAAATGCAACGCTCGAGGTGTAGAAAGGTCCTGATTAAAATGAACTAAACCGTTTCCTTTCAGTGTATGTTACTTTTGCTCTCCGACCATTCGGCACTTCCATTTGCATTTTGCGTGTACATTTTACAGATAGTATTAAATTTTTCCGCAGATCCTAAGGCTCCGGGAAGACATTATCGTGACGTTGCTCAGAGAAGCAATGGTTTGATCAAGTAAGAGAGGCGTACAATTAATGTCAGGCTTACAATTAAAGTCTAGCCCTAGTTCCCTCCTTTCCTCGCGCGACTAGTGACCTGGAACAGACCAACGATTCCAAGACGCTAATAGCGACAGAAAAAGTACCGGGTTTCCGGAGATTTCACGAGTTTCAGGCTCCCAAACAACTACTGGCAAACAATTCTATAAGGCTGGATAATTGGGTTATTATGATCATTATTTACTTTGATTTATATTCACAATTATGGTCAGCCGGCACCCTAACTTGGTTAGACTAAATAGTATGTTCACGCCCACGGTACCTCGTAAACATTCTCCTTATAATAAAAGTCCGATGGTTAACGACGACGGGCTTGAGCAAACAATATACGATAGCGAAATATTAAATAATATGTAAGGTGGGGAGGCATGATGAGGTAGGAGCTGATCGCGCCGCCTAAAAAAAAATTATGCATTCATCTATTGCCCAGCCATTCTCAAATGAACAAGCAGGTACGGGGTTTGACCCTTATTGAAAGTCTGAGCGGTCACTGGCCTGGTCGGACCACTGCGGGATTTATGACCCGTCTCTATAGTGACCTCAAAGCCTCTCAGAAAAGACGGAAGTAGCGACTAGCGCCGTCACTTGGCGGCGATTGAAGGGGACAATGGGCAGTAACCCTTTGTGTGATGAATCGTTATTCATGAACCCGTGACAGATTGTCTAGCTTTTCTCGCACTTTGCACTGCAGCACGCAGCATTCATGACTGAAATCAGCGACACTGAAATCCCGTTTGGTCTGGTGCTAACAGCTAGGGAGTCCACAGTGAAAATATGCGCGCAAACTGCAAAAGAATGGCTAGAATGTTCTGATGTCACCGACTACGGCCAGCTATTACCGTGGGTATGCCTCAACTCTCCAAAGCTCTCCCCAGCTCTCTCTCTCTCTCTCTCTCTCTCTCTCTCTCTCTCTCTCTCTCTCCTCTCTCTCTCTCTCTCTCTCTCTCTCTCTCTCTCTCTCTCTCTCTCTCTCTCTCTCTCTCTCTCTCTCTCTCTCCCCAGCTCTAAGCAGCTTCCTGCTCTGCTCTCCGCAGCTCTCTCCAGCTCTCCCCAGTCCCCACAGGCCACAGCTTCGTAAAAGCTCCCGCAGCTCTGTAATAATTGTTTTTCCCCGCTACATGCTCTCCGCTACTGGTTCACAGCGGCTGGCGCCTCCGACAGATGACGCGATTTGTGGGGAGCCTCCGCGAGCCATACGGCGCTCGGGAGTGTTTCAATGACCGCAGGCTGTTTGAAATATAATTAGACAAACACTATTCGTTAGAATTGCGTTTTTCTATTGAAAAACAATCAGAGCAGTTCTGGTGTGAAGGGATAGATGTATGTGTCTTATGATGAATGTGCATCAATATACATCCACGGGCAAGGTGGCCGGTGTAAAGCATACTCAATCACTTTGAACCTGTCTCGAAAATCATCTTCACCCAACCTCTGTCTCTGAAATAATACACCTCACCTGATGGTGAGCGCTGTACCAGCCGCGGGACAGGGGCACCACCCGTCGGCAGGGAAACACTCCGTGACGGCCGCGGTACGCGCCGAACCACCAACCTGGGGGAGGGATGGGGTGGTTAGGGGGAGGTGTGGGCACCGGACGGTACGTCTCGGTACTGGTGAAAAAACGACACTCACGAGTCACGAGAAGCAGAGCTGAGAGCTGGCACCTCTGACTGCTTGACACTCTGTTCCGAGTAGGTACAGACTAATGATACACTTAGCGAGAAAAAAACGACACCCACGAGAGGCAGCTGAGAGCTGGCAACTCTGACTGCTTGACACTCTGTTCCGAGTAGGTACAGACTAACGATACACTTAGCGCTGTTTGCATTCACTCATTCTCATTCATTCATTCACTCATTCATTCATTGTTTGTACATTTAATGTCCCATGAGGAAGCTTTTACGTGGTCATTCCGTGTCATAAAGGCCGCTTAGTTCCTCGAACATGGGTAAGTGGTAACGGCCGTACATGCCACACAAACCATACCTCACATAGTTATAGCCATTCCATCACCGCTGTGTCATAACTGCCCGCTCGACCTCCGCTGTATGCGCCTCAGACCTACATTCTCTGTGAACGTGCCGCCCGCTGGACAGCTGATTCAGCGCCAGCTGCTGCTGCTGCTGCTGCGGTACCGCAGACACCACTAGCGGCAGCCGTAGCGGTCCGCCTGTCTGCCAACCACCAGCGGCGGCTCCCGCCGCTCCGATCCCGACGCACGGCGGCGTGTGCGGCGCGCCAGCTGACGCCCGGCGCGGCGGTGGCGGCGCAGTGGATCATAACGCGCCGCAGGAGACGCTCGGCAGATGTTGTCCGCAGTCCGCGGCCGGTCTGTGGACCGTTAGGTGCGCAGGAACGCAGACGAACAGACGGCGGGGTCTGTGTGTGCCATACAACAGCTGAATGCCTAGCGAGCGTGTGAATCAGCCAATCAACCGGTAATTAACCGTTACCAACCGGTAATCCAGTTCCATGACTGATGATAAGACGTTACTCAGCACTGCCTTTTTGCAATAGGTAGGTGTGGCCACTGGACGGAGCCCAATGCCTATTGTTTAGTTGATAGCACTCACATCTAATGCAGACCCCATCCAATACGGGCCTAGACGGACCAGGTGCCTCCAGCCTCTGGGTCCAGAGACGATCATTTCGTAGCTTTGGGTCATACGAACGGGCCCGTGGGGCTCAGTTGCCAACACTGGGTAGAGTTGTAGGCCCAAAAGCATATGCTGCCGGCATTGGGTCACGTATCGGTCTCTCCGCTTCTCAGCGAGTAGCAGATGTTGTGACGCGGCACAACTCATTGTTTGTGCTGTCAGCGCGGCACACAGTACCTCTGTATGTGGCGCATACGGAGCTTCAGCCAGGTGCCGCAAACAGGGAGTGGGTTATCAGTTACAGTGACTAACCCACTTACTGTGGAGACCTGAGGGAGTGGGGTTATACCTGCAGTTGCAGTGACTAACCCACTTACTGTGGAGACTTAAGGGAGTGGGTTATACCTGCAGTTGCAGTGACTAACCCACTTACTGTGGAGACCTGAGGGAGTGGGTTATACCTGCAGTTACAGTGACTAACCCACTTACTGTGGAGACCTGAGGGAGTGGGTTATACCTGCAGTTGCAGTGACTAACCCACTTACTGTGGAGCCACCTGAGGGAGTGGGTTATACCTGCAGTTACAGTGACTAGCCCACGTACTGTGGAGATCTGAGGGAGTGGGTTATAAGGCTACCGTGACTCGCTGTCAGGCAAGGAGGGAATTGCGCGGTTCAGTATAGCTTATAGCCAGTTCAGTATACCGAGAGGACTTGGTTAGTTTTGCTTCTGTTGAGCTTTGTTTCGTTTGTTTTGTCAGGTTGTGCAGTTTGTTCGTCTCTTTGTTTGCTGTTAAGTTTTGCTGATTTGATTTTTGTGTTATTTCTCGATATGCAAATAGCTTACCATTTGGACCATCTTCACAAAAGACAAGGGTAGCATTGCTTATTTCCCAATTTGCCTTCCACCGTCTTGGATTAGGTATACGAGTATATGGAACAATGGAGCATCCGATCGGCTATCGGTGTCGCCCCGCTCCGCCCTCATCCCTGCAGCTGCCGTTATACAGTCCCATGGTGCAGGTGCCCGTCTTACACGGCACCACCTACATACAACAGCCCGCTGCTAACGCAGGTGGTGCGCCGTCCGCCGTCACCACGCTGTGCTGGTGATTGGTGATCGGTCTACACGCGCTGCACTGGTGATTGGTGTGAGATCATACTGCGGTGCAGACGCACCGGTACAGAACACCAACTCGGTTTCGGAAATGGGTACGTCTCACTGGCGTGTGAACGAGACTTCAGAGGCTCGAACTGGGATTTATATGGAGAACGGTGAGAAATGCGTCGTTCGGCAACTGGTGAGGCGAACAACCCCGATTTCTCCTGTAAGATGTGAGAAATTTGCCTTTCGAGAGATAATTGTTTTGTGGTTTTCATTTCAAGTGAACTCTTGGAGGCTTGCCCTGCATTGCATACAATATAAAATAAAATAGGCCCATTGCCCCCCCCCCCCCCCCAACAGGACGTGGAACGGGGAACCTGCCAGACCTCAACGAGGCGCGGGTTAACTAGCAATCGGTACAGAAAACCGTTCGTTGTGATGTGCACCAACTAATTTCGTGCGAAGAAATGAAAATGTGCAAAAAAAGTTATGGTTACTCTGATCGGTATATCAGATAGTACCTAGACCTACAGGTGTCCCATCGTCCCACCTCTCCCACTTTACTCTAATTGTAGCCAAGTTTCAAGGGCCTTTCTTGTTCGATATCTTCCTAGTTTTGATTTATTCACTGGAAATCTGCTCGCCTTTTCAGGAGAGATAGTAGCTGCTAGCAAGCAAACGAAAATCAGCCAACATCTAAGGCTAGAGACACCAGTCGGCAGCCAGAAGTTGGCGAGAAAAGTCGGCATCTGCCCAAAATCATTTAGCTTCGGTGTGTTCAAGCAGCGCACTCTCCTCTGGCTCTCCAGAAAGCCCAATGAAATCCAGCTTGCCTGGTACATCCCACCACATGACACGGACGAAACGACCGATGGCGCTCCCAAACGAGGAGCCGAAGACGGATTGGGCGGTGCACGCGCAAAGAGCGGCAGGGGAAAACTGCTCGGAGTGGTGATTCCGCTGCTCCGCTGGATGGTCCGTCTCCTGCTACTAGTATATCTCTTTCAGAAGCTGCATTCGCAGTATCAGGACTACCTGTTCCAGCCCGTAGTAGTCAAGTCAATCGTGTTCCAGCGGCAGGCCCCGTTCCCACGTCTAACAATTTGTCCCTCTTCGGAACTGAGGGACACAGAAATGCTCAGCGACATGGAAAAGAATCTCACTCAGGACGAGATCACACTGGAGCAGTTTTACAACATGACGACAGTGGATTTACTGGAGACGAACAAATGGGAAGTCAACAATATGCGCCTTTACTACAGAGAGACCACGGAACAATTTAAATATCACACATTCCCAGGCACAAGTAAGCTGGGGCGGTGGCGCGCGCGCTACTACTTGACACTGACCGAACTTGACGAGAAGTTGATTCCGACACTCTGTCTGACTTTCGAGCCGAGCGAATACCTGAGAAACCGGGCCAAAAGCGACGTCAACCTGTGCTGAATCTGAAGGTCACGGAGCTCTTCAAAGGAGGAGGCATAACCTACCACCTGTTTCTGCACGAGACTGAGGACCGAATGTCGGCGATCTAGCCGCCGAAGCGCTGGGCGCGGACATTAAGCAGACCGTCTCGGTGGACCTGCCCCTGAAGAGAGACCTCACGCTGCGTCTGACTGCCCGCATGCTCAGCATGGTGAATGTGCGGCGCCGGCCGTGTCGGGAGGACCCCGGCTACTCTGCCATCCAGTGTCTGAAGGAGTGTCTGTGGAGTCGTCTGGCGGCCAACATCTCCTGCCGGTTGCCGCACATGGTCGGCGCCGGGGTGTACCTGCCCGACATGAGCGGACCGCTCGACCACCTGCCACTCTGCGCGAGGCCCGTGCAAATGAAATCCAGCAAGAATCGAAGAATTAACCGGCTGTGTGAGCGCATCGAGGAGACTTGCGCATATAACGATTCATACAGATGGTACAGGCCGACCAAGCTCCCAACTCCAGAGGACGAGGTCGATCCGTTTTCATTTTTCTATAAATGGAGGTACAGTCGGAAGACACAGCCCGCTTCCATCAGACTAGAGCCCACAGAGAATACTCAGGACAAACTGGCCAACATCAACGACTGCACAATACCGAAAGACCTCGAAACGTTCGTTGATGACCGCCTGGCCACCGACACACAAGGCTGCGATTGCCCACCTGCCTGTCGGCAAACATTCTACCAGCTATCGGACTGGTCTCCTGGGGACGACAAGAGCAAGGACAGCTGCCGGCAGGTGCTGACACTGTCCGTCAGCCTGAAGGCCGATGAGGTCAGCGAAGCCATCTCCTTCACCCTGCCGACTCTGCTGGCCAACATCGGAGGCACCAACGGCATCATGACCGGATACTCGCTCTTCACCCTGACGGCGGCTGGCGAGGCGCTGGCGTGGAAGCTTGCCCGGAAATAAAACAGGAGTCGGTGGTGAAGTCAACATCACATTCGCGGACTGTTCTTATGCCGTTTCAGGTCTGTGATCATCTTTTTCTCAGGTTACCGACAATGGGTACACTAGTTATGTCGCCGGCTGCATAAAATCATCAACACAGGCTGCGAGTGCCATGACCCTGTTTCACGGCATGCTGCCAGCCGCTACTTGCGCTATTGCGCATTCGGTTTCCATGGAAACATCAACAACTTTCGTTGTGAGCGTCCGCGTTTGTTGATGCTGGAAACTGAAAGCGTAATAGCGCTAGCCACTAGTAGCATGCCTGCGAAACAGAGCCCCTGCCGTCAGCCACCAGTTCCTGTTCACGGTTCACCAGTGTAGGTAGCGCTGTGAGCACAGTTTTATGTAGGTGGCGCTGGGTGCAGGAGGCGGTGACAAGAGATAATGCCTGGTGCTCAATGTCCGCTCGAGAGTTGTCTGTTGTCTGTCCGGACCAAATAAAGAGACTAGTGCACTCTGTGTGCGCCGTGTCTGTGTCTGGAGTAGACACATAATTCAGGCGACTTTTGTCTTGTGAGTTATTATCATTATGCTTGTAGCAAAACGGCCAGAGCTCAGCGTGCGTGCATTGTCTGCCTCGGGAGCAGATCGCGGGCTCAGTGCTCACCGCGTGTCTCATGTAGACACACGAGACACCCGTTGTGGTCGAAAAATGGATGAGACAGCGGACAACATCTACCCTATCTGTGCTGTCTGTCTCTGAACCAGACAGCGGCCCGCACCCTGTCTTTGCTGTCTGTAGATCAGACAGCGGACAACACTCACCATGTCTGTGCTGCCTGTGTTTGGTGAAGACGCGCAGAACGGCCTCCTCCGGGAAGCTGAGCAGGGCGGGGTCCTCGCTGGAGTGTTCCTCCGTGGCCCGCATCAGGTGGTGGCGGCCCTGCCGACGGCGGAGCGAGGTCAGGGCCGGGCCAGGGAGGTCAGGGGCCGGTCAGGGCAGTCAGGGGTCACTCAGAGTCGGGGATAGTCGAGGTTCCGTTGGGGGCTAGTCAGAGGTCAGTCAGGGCCAGTACGAGCCGATCAATTTTCAAACTCACAGTCGTGAGCCGAGAAGGGGCCAGTCAGGTCATGTCTTGGGAGCTAGTGGAGCCGCGTTGAGCCTAATATAGGCGAGAAAATAGTCGGTCCGTGCCCGTTCCAGCAAAAATACTTCCAACATTGAAGGGCAATGGGACTCAGTGATGTGAATGTATGATTAATAATTATATCGTATGAATATAGAGATCCTAAGTGCTTATGTGTTTTATGTACCGCGAGGATGAAAGGTAGTTTTCGTTCAGACGGGTTACATTACGATTTCTATGAATATGGCGATAAGCCGATACAAGCACTTCATTGTAACGAATCCATGACAGATGTAAAATGACGACAAAGCTTCGATACATAAAGTACCTATCTTGATCACTGTCAATGAGATGTAGAATATTGAAAATAGTCGGGGTCTCATTGACAAATGGTCTCATTGACAGTGATCGAGATACTTTATGTATCGAAAGCTTTGTCTTGTACAATAAACTTGAGTTCGTCATTTTACAAGCACTTCTGTTAGGAGCTGAATGTGACCAAACAGCTCCAAACGTCAGAGGTCAAGGTCACTCTCCACAGAGGCCAGCGTCACAAACAACAACAATGGCATTGTTCCCGGCATTGTTTCGGCTCCCTCAGCCGTAGCTCGCCTTGTGCCCCTTAGTGTGTAAATGTTTTATTAAGTTGAAGTTAGCCGTTATAGTGGTCTCCGTCAGCTAAGAGTGCCGTCACATATATTTTCGTTTTTTGGGGGTAATATGCCACGTCTCATTTGAGTGAAGATTGAAGGCATCGTGTATAATTTCAGTTGAATACATTTTTAGCTTTCAGCAGGCCAAAAACGTTCTGCGAACTCTTAACCCTCGCCCGCACATGGGGGGGGGGGGGGGGGTGGTTGCCACCCCCCCAGGTAGTCTTTCTGCTCTGCACTCAACATTTTTAAAGCTAGAAGGCTGATTTTTCGTATAGCTGCTCCTCTATCCTTTCTTGATGTCCACTGAAAATTTCAAGTTTCTGTGATTTTTGGTTTCGGAGATATGACCTTGTTTTTCAGGTCATGTCATGACCCAAATGGCCAATTCTCAACATCTTGCGTTTGCCATGGGCCTTATGAGCTTTTGACACCCTGATTTCGGCCTTTTTTGCCAGTCTTACCTCCTACCTATCATGGAACATGTTGTTCGACGATGTACAGGGGTCAAGGTCAGGGTCAAGGACGGTCAACCTAGGTCACCTAAGATAATTGCGTTTTAGGCAAGCTGAATTTACTTTTTTTGAAGTTTTTTGACTGCATTTTTGGTAAAAGCTTCTCAGATCATGATTTCATGTAATATGGACCCAAAAACAATCGGTGCACACATCAGTATACACACAGACACACACAGACATACAAACACATATAATTGACCTTGACCTAACTTGACCTGAAATGACCTCAGCAGCAAAATTCTGGTCGGGTAGTGTGACAAAGAGGTTCTAGCTGCCTTGGCACCAGAAAACAGCATCGTCATCGGTAATTGATAAGCAGCACACTTGATATCCAACGGTGACCCAAAACAGCAACATTTTTTAGTTTGACCTGACCTGGAAGGTCAATGACTGACCTGAGAAGGTAAAACTGGGTATCATTGGATTCGTCTCTTCCCAAAGAATCTTTTTGGTCTTTACTGCTAAGCTCTATCTCCAACAGGAACGAAATGGCGCGGGGGGTGGCAACCCCCCCCCCCCCCATGTGCGTTCTAGGATGGGAAAATGGCATGTGCGGGCGAGGGTTAATGTCGACGGGAAAGCCTGAAGCTCGAAGCAGATAGGCAAGCCATTATCCCTCAGGGAGACTTATGCATGTAAGTACTTCAACGACGGTGAGCCATCGATAACAAACAAAATAATCAATGGTCCCTCGTAACTCGTAAGTTAAGTAATGAAATCGTTGAGGACTGCACACGGCGCAAACGAAACATGACCATTGACCAATGCCACAACATCAGTATTTTTCATTTCATTTTTAGTGAATTCTCATGTCGGAAGTTATCTTGAAATAACGCTCTAGGATGAAGAACAATAACACTCGCGAATTCAGTGTAACTAAAAACAGCAGTTGCTGAGCGCCGATGCTTTATTTGTATCAATCGTTGCGACATGATACCACCGTGCCGAGTCAAGTCGGCTGAGGTTTTGGACATTCACGCCTTCTTTGTTGGTCTTATCTTCATGGTCGTGGCGTTCAAGCAGTACTCTTCCCTCCATTCTCGCCACATGATGCCCGTCCAGTCACACGATTCGGAAAGGTACCTGCCGTTCAGGTTCGAGGTGTAGCAGTAATACCACCAGTAATACCACAAGGCTCCCTGCCACTCAGCTGCACAGCTCTCATCCCAGGCGTCATGGTCCCGGTCAAACGTGGAGAATTGCATCCCGTTGTGGTAGCTTAGACTGTCCCGGCGTTTCCCGCGTAGTCGGTAAGTCCAGTCGGTAGCCGTCAGCCTCGGACGCGATGGTGAACTTCTGGTAGGTGGCGTACCTCGTTTGCCCGTCCCAATCCCAAAGATCGACCCGCAATTCGTACTCGCGATCCTGCTGAGAGGTCAGCTGCCAGAGGTAATGAAGTCCCCACCAGAACTCCCCAACGAAAACTCCCAGGCCCCACTTGTAGGCCTCCCAGTCCTGGAAGAAGTCCTGCCTTGGTGTGATGTCGGCCCTTTTTTGGAAGACGGTCCATCCCTGGCCATCGTCCATGTCACACTAGGCCGGGGTCGGAGTCACACCATCAGGTTTGATAAAGTATGCCCCGCTGGGCGATCCTACGGGCACGTCACTGCAGTCACGCACAATCGAATCTTCCTGCGGTGTACCGTCTGTAGCAGACGCCAGCTCAGAGGTCATCTCAGAGGTCAGGTCAGCGGCTGACCCGGAGCTGCACATCAGCAGCCAGAGGACGTTAATCACCACTGGGAGACATGACGGTAGCTTCATGGTACTGCACAAGGAAGCATGTGCTGTCCTCAGAGGATCAGTCGCCTTCACTGAAGGTGTGGTCGCCGGTCGGTCGGTCCGTCTTATACCGCCTCACAGGTGGCTGGCTCACATCCACTACCGTCATGATGTGTGACCCAAAACAACTGTTGCAACAACATTATCTATCTTTAGTGAGCCGGGAAAGAACCAACCAGGAAAATAAAACAGACTTATCGGAATTCACAGCGCGAACGCTCCCTCAAATAAGTTACAGCTTTTAGACGGAGGGGTTCATGAAGGAAGGCATCAATAAATATCTACCTATACGTAAAAGGCGATATGTTATGAAAGTTGATGCTTTGGTTTGGTTCTTTGGTGTAGGCCGTTGTGGAGATTGGAATAGTCAGGGATAACATGAACGAATTATGTTGTTGTTGCTGCTGCTCTTGCTGCTGTCAGTGTTGCGAATGTATTCTGCTGTCGTAGTTACGAATGCGACTTAGCATGAGCTGATAGACTGGGCATTAGTATTCCAGCGAAAACACAACTCTGTTTAGTAACACTGACGGCGTCGGGTATAATGAGCATATGCAGGCTTACCATAATAACAACGGTCTTCGTTAAATACCAAAACGACGCTTCAACTTCGGGGTTTCAGTATGGGTCCGAGAACAATTCCGCGAGTTAGCGACGCCATAATAAATAATCGTGAGTGCGCCGTCCCCCCCCCCCGCGTCCCCTCCCGTCCCACATGGCTTGCCCCGGGCGGCGATACGCATGTTACCCCCCCCCCCCCTCCCCTCTGCACTGAGGCGTCGCGTGCCGGCGTTTTCACTCTCCTCCTTCGAGAGCGTCTCGGACGACGGAGCACCCGTGGGTGGCGGTCCCGGCCCGTTCCGGTCGTGACGCCGTGTCACGTGTCACGGAATTCTGACACCGTGAGGCACGTGTCACGAAATGTCTGACACCATGGCAGAGGATCTCGCGTCGGCCGACCGTGAGGCAGTGCTCAATGGACGACTTTCGGTCGGAGAGAGAGAAAGAGAGAGAGAGAGAGAGAGAGAGAGAGAGAGAGAGAGAGAGAGAGAGAGAGAGAGAGAGAGAGAGAGAGGGGAGGGGGAGGAGAGGTGGCAGAGAGAAAAAGAAGAAAGAGGTGAGGCACGACGAGTGATATCGATCAGAAGAAAAGAAGTAAGGGATAAAAAATAAAAGCATCGAATTCTCACGACGCATTGCCTTCGTCCGCAGTTTTGTTGCCGATTTCTCACAAGTGACATTTAACCCGCGCCCTGGTGTGGGTCTGAGCCACCTTCGCCCTGGTGGGGGGGGGGCCAAAATGACCCCCCCCCCCGTCTAACTCGAAAACGAAGAGGGCTAGGAAGACGCGGAAAAAAAAACAAACGAAAGACCATAACAAGTACGTTCGAAAGTATTTCGGTCATTTTTTCGCTAAGGTCAATATTGAGGTCGCTAGAGGTCATCATAGGTCAAATTTCAGTGTTTTCGGTGTTGCCGGACATATTCCGCTGTAGCTCGGAAACTAGAAGAGCTAGAGAGCCGCGGAAAAAAGCAATCGATAGCTCTTTTCAAGATCTTTCGCCAAGGTTCGTCAGATTTGACCTCAGCTTAACGGTTTGGCCTACAGAGGTCATGCAAGGTCAACTTGGCAAATTTTGTTGAAAATGTTTTTAACTATAGCATGCATTCACGAGGAAATAGAGAAACGATTCATGCACCATCGTGCTTGGCTCGTCGAGACGCGTCGAATGATATATAGTTTGACCTCGAAAGGTCATTTTGAAAATTTGACCTCAGGTCAAGGTCATGACCTTACCGAAATAGGTCATGCTGCATATCATTCGATCCGCATTGACGAGACAAACACGATAAACGTCGAACGGAGTCTCTATCTCTATTCAATAACAAGTAAGTGCAGAAAAACCGCTGGTGACCTCTGGTGACCAGGGAGATGACCTAGCGTGACCTCAGCGAGGTCACAAGCAAATGGTTTCACATGGGCTGTGATTTGCTGACCCAAGACACTTCAATAACGAAATATAGGATCAATCACGCCCGATTTAGCTGAAAAACAACTACTTTTCGATTCTCCCATTGACTTATAATGGGGAGCAGCGATGACCTGACCTGACCTTAGGTCACATTTATAAAAAATCCGAGATAGCCATTTCGTAGAGCTGGGTGACATCTTCAAGTACTGTAAATTTTACATCGATCGGATAAAAGCTGTGCCTTTGAGAGAGCTTTGAACTTTTTTAGAGGTGGTGTCAGTTTTGGTGACCTTGTGACCTGACCTGACCTGACCCGAACCCCCCAAAACAGGACATGATGTAAAAATGTTGAATAAACAGCTATACAAAGTTTCAGGGCGCTAACTCAAGTGGTTTCTGAGTTATCGCTGAAAAACCACAGGGGGGGGGCCAAAATGGCCCCCCCCCCACCAGGGCGAAGGTTAAGATGTCAATATTTACCAATAACCACAATTACCCAGCCTATTTGTGGTGAGCACGAAGTGTGTCTCCCTGCTCACGCCCACAATGTTCCCCCTTTCTATGCCAGACTCCGAAACTTATTGGCCCATCACGCGTTTATTGGTCTCGAAAGGCCGTGTTTCGGAGACAGCTGAACATGCTCAAATGTGCGTCACGGACGCTGATTGGGTGACACACCGTGACGTCACGTATCATTATGTGTGACGTCACAAGCCACCGTCCTGAGGCACATCGTTACTTCTAAAAGTAGAAATAGCAAAGGAATGCTGCCACACACTTAGCGGAGGTCTCATGAATTGTTAGTCGCTCGAGCAGCATGTCTGTGCCTATCAGGCTTCTTGGGAATTATTAGGATTATATGTCGTTTATGGCGGCAATGAGCCAGAGTTTCAGCGAGGCATCATAGGCTTTCTGTCACTTCGGCATGCACGGGATGTGTGCGCGCCTGATATGACTACATGGGTCCGCCCGAAATCCACTGATCACGTGACTACCATCGCACGGCCCCGCCCCGACCTCTATCCTGTCTGGATCACGTGATCACAGAGCGTGACGGAAGCCGGCTGACACCGGATCCTGTCCCCCCTCTCCCCTCCCCCTGTCCCTCTGCCCCTCTGCCCCTCCCCCCTGCCCCTCTGCCCCTCATGACCTGCCTGCGCATCAAACGCAGGGCATGGAGCGCGACGGAAATAGCTCGAACTCGTAACCAGCGTGCGCTTTGAGTGACGTGCATGAATTGATGCAGCATGATGAGCAATAGACATCAGACATGGAGTCTTGGACAATAGATATAAGGCAAAGACATGTGCTATCGAGACACACGAAACATCCAGCGCCGAGCATCGAGGGCTGATCGAGCACATATACCGTCCACTGAGCGAGGACTATTTGTGGTCACAGCGATTGGAGATAATATTTCTGGAAGTGATGGAAAAGCGTAGACATGGAACTTTCTTTTAGTGTGCGCTTACTGGCTTCAGTGAGACTGTTGAAAGCAAGCAGTTTGAATGACACGCATGCCTTTTCACTAATTGAGGAATGAAAATCCTTCAGCTTCTTCGTAACGGTTTAGCAACAAAGGTTTCTTTTCCTGTCTGCTTGGGTGAAGCTAAAACGTATGCTAGTCAGTCCTTCTTTTTACCGCATTGAAGACATACAAAAGATGCATAGACTAACACCCAAGGTATTTTTGTTTCAAACTTATCATTTGCTTTCACACGTTGCGTAATGGCAAAGCAATGCTAGTGTAGGCGGATTTCCATAAATCTGTATTTCGGGCTCACCCCTTGCAGCCACGCTTCCTGCACGTCCTAATTAAACGAGCGCTTGGTCCGTGTAAGCCAATGCTTCGTGAAAGCCTAACGTGTCGATTTGGCGGGCGCCGGGCGACTCGGGGCAGGGCCCGGCTGGGCCCGCACACATGGAGGTCATTAGTGAAACGATGCGTCGATAATTTCTCTGATTTCACGCGCTACGTATCGCTGGGCGTTTCATGCTGAAAGAACGGTTGTCTGTTTGAGCTGTTCGCTCGGCCCAAGGAGTGAACACAAGACGTTAGATCCCATCGGACGAGGGTTCTTCATTGTGAAAATAATTGTTTGAAACTAGTCAGACAATTTAATAACATTTAAACAGCAAACATTTCTGTCTCTTCTGATACATTATAGTCAGAACAAAAGTTTCCGTCACAGAAGTTGCACGAAGTTTCCGACACAATATTAACATCAGCCAGTAGTGCATTGGACGTTAATGAGGTCCGACAATCATCGTTTATGGTAAAAGGCAGTGAAAACTATTGCCATATTCTGCAGCCGCAATAATAATAATAAAAACATAACAATAACGACACCAGCTCGTAAGTGAAACGAGCCTAAGGAGATATGGAGATCCTTAGGTAGGTATGTAGCACCTCAGTGCCACATACCAGCGAGTGATGCGCTAGCGATACCAATTAGTGATACCTTAGTGCTACCCCAGCTGCGACACGGCGATTGCTGTTGGTGGTGAACCGCCTGCGGTCGGCCTGACCCGTTCGACACGGGCCGGTCACGGCCGCCGCACAGTGGGGCCACTGGGCCGCCCCGCCGCCACCTCGGAGACGCACAGGAAAGCGTCCCCACTCGCGTGACCTCACGGCACAACAGCTTACAAGGACGCGTGCAGGCTTTCGTTACAAGAGAGCGCTGCAAAAACCATCTCTCGCTACGGCAGACTTCCGCTGTGGAACGGATCTGAACAGAGTGTCAGGAGAGTCATCCCGACACGGAATGGTGCAATGGCTTTGGATGGGGTTGGGGACAGGAGCGTGACCTGGGCGTGCACCTTCTGTTGGTGCCATCACCAGCGCACCGTGGGGGGTGCACGCAGTCACTTTCACGAACCGCTTGCAACAGCTTGGAGAAATTCACGATCAACCATTATGACGATCGGAGTTTCTCACATTTCATAACCTTTTTGGAAGCTAGAAAGAATAGGTTTCTGATGGTAGCTCGGATAACTCAATGTGAATGCCACATTTTTGGGACATTTTGCAGTGATTGCATGCTATGATTCACGCTTGCGCAGAATTATTCAACACTTTTCTTAAATAAGTTAAGTGTAAGTTAGCTAAAGCATATGGATCGTCGTTTAACAAAATGATGAAATTAAATTTCTAATTCACCTCTATTGTGCCATTCATTTTGCCCTTGGCCTCTTATTGTGTGTGATAATTCATCATAAACACAGCACTCATTGTTGCATCTTTTTGTTGAGTACGTCATAACCCAGTTTAACGTCACAGTAACAACAGACACGCCTTTCTGTCCCCAAATCTTGCATCATTCCCTACACCCCTTCCACACACACACACACACAAACATATGTACAATACCCCCTCCCCCAGCACTGACCTTGAAGAGTAGTTTGGCCAGTGTGACCGGGTCGAGTCGATCGTGAAGTCCCCGGTACAGCGGCAGGATCAGACCCAGCCGCCTGGCCGCCGACACCGCCTGGTACCAGCGCTTCAGCGAGGGCGGCGTGTTCACCAGCTCGTCCAGCAGCGTCTCCAGCTGCCTCTCCTCCTCCTCCGCCACTCCCGGCAGGGGGACACTCCAGGAGGGGGCCCGAGAGCTCCCCTGCTGGGCTGGCAGCGGTGGGGTTGGACGCCTCATGACGTCACATAGTTCCGCTGCCAACTGTCTCTGCTGTCTCACCGCGCGGCGCTCGGGAGGGATGTCCTTCAGACGAGGGAGGTCTCCGTCCGTCCGTTCATCAGCCCCACTCTCTGAGATGAGCCTGGCGCCGGCGCCAGGAGCGCTACTTCTCTCCTTGTGTGAGAAGTAACGCACATCCCCCAGCTCCGTGGCGGAGAGGTACCCCAGGCTGCGAGCCTCCTCCAGCAGGTCATGTCTCAGGACGGCGATATCCGCTGCCGTCGGCCGAGCGGCGCGGGACTCCCTCGCGCGCCCCCGCTCCCTCCGACGAAACTTCTGCAGGCTGAGGAAGGACTTCTGGACGGGAAGGTCGGCCGGAGGCCAGCAGGTCTGCTGACCTCTCCGTGGCGTGGGCAGCGTCCGGAACTGGGGGTTGTAGCGCGAGAACACAAACCTCGGTCGGCTGGGCGTGCCTCCGTACCGATCGGGCCCGCGGCGCCGGAGGATCCCCCGCACTGGACGATCAGAGGTCTCCAGAAGGTCGTCCACGCTGGAGGTCTTCCGGACCGGGTGGACGTGCTGGAGGTCATGTTGGTTGTCCTCTTCCGACGCCAGGTGCTCTGCGCTGCCCCAGACGCCGCTGTGTCTCTGCAGACGTCTGTGGCCCTCCAGTGAGTCTGATCTCTGCCGGTCGGCCGCCGGGCGTCTCCTCGCGTTGGGCACCTTCAGCGCGCTGTGTGAGGAAGCCTCGCTGCGAGGGACGGCTGAGGTATCCGTGCACGCGGAACACCCAGAGGACACGTTCGACGGCTGTGACGAGGTCAGGGAGGCGCTGTCGGTGGCCTCCCGACCGCTGTCCGTACACTCGCCGCACATCTCGGATTCCCTCGCAGCCTGCTGAGGTCCCGGGTTCGAATCCACCCCCGAGCGCGTCTCTTTGTCCGCCTCTGAGAGACCGAGCTCTGACCGGCGCCACTTGAGCATCGAGTGTTGGAATCTGGAGTCCAGGTGGTGTATTCAGGAGCGGTAACAGACCTCCGTGAAATACAATGTCTGAAGACGGCGTCCCAGGTTACGAGTAGTCCTTGTCCGTTAATGTAATCGAGCGGGCACGTGCCAACACGGCCTAAGACGGCACGTCTCGTGATATTCCGTGTTGGAGATCGAACACGTGCACTACAGTTAACGTTTAAACACGTGCCCTTATCGGGTTTGAATAGTTTCTTGGAACGGATCAGCGTGTAGAACGGCACACGTTTGGGCAGCTGTCACGAAATGATTATGGCGTATTTCAACTATTCGTTCAATGCCAACCCTCAATTCATGATTGTGAGACAATGCGGCATAGCCACTGGTTTCTTTACCACAATGTCTATCAATTCATGAGTGAACAATTGCCAAAATCAGCACAGCAACTTGTCACTCCATTGTTACCAGCACTATCACTAACAATGTGACTGACTGCGATACTGACTGGTTGACTGACGGACTGATAGCGCGACTGACAGCGTGACTGACCGGCGTGGAACGCGGCGCCACCCGGGGTACAGCCCCCACCCTCCGCTAGCTTCCGGTCAGCGCGGGTGCTGTGCGGAGGGGGAGGGAGGGGAGGGTGCGGTGTGTGTGCCACACCCTGGATACGGACACGGACTGCCGCGGGTGAAGAGCTGCGGACACAGCGGGTCCGGGGACACGGTGTCCGGCGGAGCTGAGGACACGATATCTCTGACGGGGCTGTGGACACAGTCCACTGTCCGGTAGACCTGAGGACACGTGTTTGACGAATACAGCTGAGGATACGTGCACCCGCCAAAGCCGAGGGAACAATCTGTCCGATCCACGTGCTAGTGCTGAGCTGGGAGCTGTGAAACGTTTTCTCTTTAGTGTTTCTGTGGATCACCGGCTCATGACGATCGAACAGTGAATCCAGGAGGCGGTGAGTCGGATCATTTGGGACGGTGATTTTACATGCACCAGTGGTTTCTTCACTTTTCTCCTGGCTTCGCTCGTTTCTGGATATGGCAGCAGTTCTCTTCACGGGCTTGTTTGTTGACCGCAAACTGTCAATGTCAGTTTGACAGTGAGTGTCAATTCAAATCTTTGAATTGGCCTCTGCCCTCAATCTTTTACAAATCGGAGCACATCTATCCTCGGTAAAACGACGAATATAGCACTCGCACTAGCACCAAATCACGCCACCACTGGCCACAATAGTTTCACGTCAGCACACCACTCCCTTCCACGTGTCCCGCTGTTTCGTACCTCGGCTCACTGCTTCCCCGTCCGTTCACCGTACCGACGCTGCCTCGTCCGAGTGTCACACTCACGGCACCACCCCTGCCGCCTGTCACCCGGGCCCCCGCCGCCGACCGACTGTGTGTCACGTATAGGACCCGACTCCGCCCCGACGGTGAAACGCCCGGGGCACTGGAGCGGCACAGCGCGCGAGCCGACCGCCCGGCTAGCGCCCCCGACAGAGGATAATGGGAGGGGGGGGGGTTGTAGTGAGATTATCCGTAGGATTTGTGTCATGAGAAGAGCAGTAGGATTGACTGTGAGGTGGGGTTGATGGTCGGATCGGGTATCTTGTGAAGGGAGTTGAAGGGAATTATTTTGTCGTGATGTGAGATGTAGGAGTGGTACTTGATTACAATGTATGGTAAGTGTTACGGTGAATATTTTTTGATGAGTTATGAGTTAGCCCTTTTACCCAAGAATGGAGATGCTTTATTGCCTATTAATTGAAGGATATGTGATTGACTCAAACTAGATTTGGCTATATCCGATTATAAGGACAAGATAGGCATGATTTATTTGAAACGACAATTTAGACAGCGACTATCAATAATGGAGGTCTAAAAATATTTTTATTGGATATACATATCTATTATTCATGCTTTACTTGCCCATAAAAGTTTGACGCTCCATTCACCGAGCTCAGTTACATATCCATGTAGAAACTCCTCGACTTTCACCTTCACTACCGCGAAAAAGTTATTCGTGTCATTCAAACACAGCGCAAGGTCGCACTCTACAGCTCACCACCGTGACGAAAACAAAACAAACAGAATAAAGCAGACTGCGGCTGATTATAATTGCACGGGCCGCGTCCCCGGTATCACCCCACGTGCAGGTCGTGAATGCAGCATTGGCGGCCGGGCAGCCGTGACAAGTTTCACGACCCCAAAGAACCGAGACAGAGAGGTATGTATGACGGAACGCGCCGGTATTGGCGACATCACGCAGCGCGACACAGTCGCCATTGTTCTCACTTTTGACCAAACCTAGCGAAAGTCGATATGTAGATGAAGATGAAAGTTTTCGGCGGGCTCTGTTCCACGAGCCTATCGGGCTGTTTTCAATTTTCAGCAGCCTCCTCGTGACATCGACATGAAATGGATGGAGCGTCATGGTCATGCCCTGTCATGGGCATTGGGATGTAAAGTTAAGACTTCGTGTGTGAGTAGTCTTAATTGTCAATACCAGTTGCCTTTCGATCGTTTTCATCATCAGTCAGTCTCTATTTTTGTTTTTCAGCTCTCTTCGAGACTTCCTACGCACAAAAACTGGAGGAATGCTTTAATGGATTGCTTTATAGAGTCATTTTGTGTAAAAATAGCATTTTAAGGTCTTCCGTCGCCGCCTTAGCTCAGGGGCAGAGCACCTGTCTCGTAAACAGGGGGTCGTGAGTTCGATTCTCACAGGCGGCAGGTCGTTGCCCGATCTTTTTGTCTCTTAGGTGTTCTGTTGCTTAATCATTTATTTCGGCAAACGCGAGGCACGAGAAACGTTTAAAATAGCGCAAAGCTGCGAATAACTTCGCTCAATTTAATGTCATGAAACAATTCGATTATGATTTTCGTTGATGCACGCTGCACAGAGCAAAGCATGGTAGGTATGCCTAAAACTCTAACCAAAGTGCATATTGCAGTGCACAGTGCACATGGCCTGCGAATGGATATAAACTAATGAAAGCGGAAGGTTTGCTAAATACCGATTGAGTCACTGTATCTGAAATTTTCATCGTAATTATGGTTTAGTTAGTGTTCCTGCTAAATCATATCCCACTAAACTTACTAAACCATAAATCTACTTACATATAGCGTTCCTTGCCTGTCGTTCGGTTTTTGTTGATGCAAGTATCATTACCCGCCCTACCTTATCGACTCCGTGGCACAACGTAGCGCGTCTGATTCCAGATCAGAAGGTTGTACCTATTTTCAAATCACGTCGGGTCCAAATGGTTTATATTTACATAATGCATCCATCCACACTTCCATCCTCGTTTATTTACATTTTACTGACAGACTGAAGAGAACTACTAACGAGCAGCTTGCCAATGTGTCAGGAAGGGTACCAACAAAACGGCGCGTGGCTTCAGCAGACCGTCACTCACCATTGCGAGTTATCAAGTCAAGAAAGAATCGAACGGCAAACGACTTATACTTTCCGGTTTTCAGTTCTTACAACCATCATGAGACAGCGGCCGTTGGTGCCACGTGGACAGTGATGTGAAACACTCATTGATCGCGTCAGTTACTTCGGCGAACTTCTCAGAACACGCCGCCTTCATCTCGTCAAGCTTATTCACAGTCTCTGTCTCAACTTCCCCCAACTGGTTCTCAATTTCAGCCACTTGTGAAAACGTTCCATTTAGTTTATCTGCCAGAACAGATAACTCAACGTCGAAGTCAATGGCCAGGGAGAGCCATAGACCGAACTGAATCTTCACATCGGCCGCCGCCTCTTCCATCAGAGTCACCAGGCCACTGACTGTTTGATTGCGCTTGCTATCGATCTCCGAAAGCAGGACGCCTTCAGCCGCAGTCATGTCCTCCAAGAACGCCTCCTGCCCGGCGGGGAGCTCCGCGAAATCCTCCGCCACCTCCCTCTCCACCTCTTTGAGCCGCTCCTTCATTGCCGCCTGGCCGCTGAGGTAGATCTCCGTCTCGCAGCCCGCGTCTGCCGCGGTCCGCAGCTCCTGGGCAGAGCTCTGGGACTTGTCGATGTTCTCCAGCGGCTGAAGCACCTCCGGCCACGAGGCTCGCTCTGTTCTGAGCCGTAGCAGCAGCGTGCTCTGGTCGCTGGTGAGCCGGCTAATCCTACCCTCCAGCGAGATCATCTCGTGGAGGATGCGGGAGCTGCACCTGCGCGGAGAAGGCTTCCTCTTCTTCTTCTTCTTCTTCATCCAGGAGATGATGAAGCGTTCGTCCCTATCCTGGCGGCTGGCGGTATCGGCGCTGGAAGGGGTCCTGACGTCGACGGCTGCCGGTGTGGTGGTGTTATGATCCAGCCTGATGTAGTCCTTGATGTAGTCCTGACAAAGACAAACAGAATGTCAAGAGAATCTGCTAAAAGGATCCGGCACTACGGGATTCAGCATTGATACATTTCATGATTAACGTTTGCTTTGGCATTTTGTTCGCACGTATTCAAATATTTAGAATATGAATCATTCACGAGTGAACAAGCATAACTAACGAATGAATGAAAGAAGGGACAACCAGCGGACGAAACAAATGAGCGTGAAACATACCTCTTCTCCAAACAGCTCATCGTGCTCCTGATACACCGCAACCTCTTCGAACTCTCCTGGCTGCGGCGGGCTGACGTACTTCACAGACAGCTGGTGTGACGGCATGTTCAGCAGCAGGACGGCCAGCAGTGGCGTCAGCAGACGGACCGGCGGGCGGAGGGCGGCTGACACGGTGACGGGAGGCCGCGGACTGGCGCTGACCGTCGGAAGGCAGAGTCCGGCAGGGCTCAGAGGTCCGGTCTGAGGAGGGCTCGATGGTAGGGGAGGAGGAGTGGGAGGAGTCAGGTGATGAGGTAGAACGGTCATTGGACGAGACGGTGACCAGCGTTGGAGAGGATGCCCTCCCCTGCCTCACTTCTTATCTCTTCCCTGTCTCTTAGACCGATGACAAAGGCGCTTCATCTAATCTCACATCTTAATCAACCCGAAACTCTGGGAGGTCGGTCGAAATGTCATCAATGCGCCCGAGTCATCTCCCTGGTCTTGCGTCTCTGGGGCGACATGTAATACACCTTCTGATCAATGAGAGGAGCAGACCTATCAGTCATGTAAATCAGGCATGCCACACAGGTAGCCGAGGCGTCACAACCGGAGCGTTTGTCTCTACGCACTCCGTTCATTGTAGACATTCCGTGGGCGTGGTGGGAGACGGTGGGACGAGATCCCAGTGTTGTTTGGTGGTAGAGATACTGAGAGTAGCGGCAGTCGGCCATCAGAGAGGGTCGTGTGGACAGAAAGGACCGGGCAGGAGGATTAACTAGGACTACGGGGAACTTGAGGGGTGGGTACGCAGAGACGATCTAAAACTGGTGGGGAGGTGAGGGTTTGGCAATCCCTGTAGTCGCTGTGTCGCGTTACTACGTGTATGACAACTGCAGCAACTGTGACGGTTATGGAACTGCGATGGCTGTGAAATTAGATTTGACATTCGAAATATGTCTCGTTCAAGACATTCTGAGATAGGCATTAGGTATGTACACCATGATTCTGCTCAACGACCGTTCATTCCTATTGATATTTATTATTCATTCATGTGATAGTGCCGGTAATCGTTAAAAGACGTTATTGATAGCACACAGTAAAGGATAGTCGTCTAATTTATTGAAGCTATTCTAGGCTAAAATGCAACCCCTTTAAACATTTCACACATCAAAATATAGTATATCAGTTCTGTTCTGTGCATCCCGGCGCTTATCACATCCGACATCACAGCTGAATGCCCTCACAGCCAGATCACTGGCATCCGCCTAAAAACTCCCAACGACGCCAAGCCTCGGTGCCGCAAACATCACTGACGCAGCTCACCGGGCCTGGTCCCCTGACCCCCCCCCTCCCCCTGCCAACCTCGGGCCTTTGCACCGACACTCTTCTGATGCTAACTCCCTGACACTTTGTCTCTGGGTTTGTCCAAGCCAGGTCTCTAATAGGTGGCAATTTTCCATGTGTAGAGCACTGCCTCGCAATTTATAGGTGGCGACTTGTGATTCGCAGGTGCCGCGTCCTCATTCAGAGCTTGTGGATCGTGACTCCCAGGTGGCGTTACGCTCTGCAGTGAGATGTCCGGTCCCTCACAGGCGACATTTGCGCGCCGATCGCACCTCGCCGTTTCGCCGCAGGTGCGTCACCAGCGAGGCGAGGACCTCGTCCGAGGAGACCGTCTCCGTGTCGCAGACGACGCACAGCTGCCGACGCGCGCGCGTCACCGCCACGTTGATCCGTCGCTTGTCGCCGAGGAAGCCCACGTCTCGGTTCGGGTTGGAGCGGACCAGGGACAGTAGGATGGCCTCCTTCTCGCGGCCCTGGAAGCCGTCCACGGTGTTGACCTCGACGTCGGGGAGTTTATGACGCCGCAGCGCCGCGCGCACGGCCGCCGTCTGAGCCGCGTACGGGGTGATGACTCCCATGTGCTGCTGGAGGAGGCCGTCGGCCGCCAGCGCGGCGGCATGCGCCGCCACGAGCGCCGCCTCGCCGAGGTTCTGTCTAGAGCGGGTCTGATCGGGAGTGGACTCGGCGAGGCGACAGCCGGCCGTGTCGATCAGCAGTAGCGTCGGGCCAGTCTCGGCTGTGTCCCGGACCCCAGGCAGCTGGGAGAGCCGGTGGCGCAGCACGTGCGGCGCCGCCGAGAGCAGTCCGCCGTAGTAGCGGCCCGACGACCACTCCTGGATGTGCTCGTTCATCCGGTACTGGACGCCGAGCTTACACACCAGCGCGTCGCCGTGCAGCTGCAGCTGGCGCTCCATCAGCGACACGGACAGGCCGCCCTTCTCGGCCGACTTGTTCCGCAGCATCGGAGACAGCTGCTCCGGATCCCCGAACATGAGCACTTTCTTGGCGCGCGGTATGGCGAGCCAGCAGGCCGCCTCCAGCGCCTGCGTGGCCTCGTCGATCACCAGCAGGTCAAACTCACCACCCTGTTTGGTGAGCTTCAGCGGCCCCTGCTCGCTGGCCGTTGCCAGAGTGCACAGCACCACCTCCGCATCTTCGATGACCTTTCTCTTCAGCTGCTTTTCGTTGGGCATGTCGTTCCAGTCCTCGCCCAATCTCTTCTCCCAGTCATCGAGAAGGTAGGCGGCGCATTGGTCAATCCAAAAGTCCAGCAGGTTCTCCTGGATCCTCGCTGGATGTCCCAGTCGGACCATGTTTCCCAGCTCGGCCTCCCACAGTTTTTCCAGCAGGTTGTCCACGGCAGTGTTGGACGGCGCGCACACCAGCACCCGCTGACCTCGCTCCACGTGCTGCAGAATCGCCTCCACGGCCGTGGTGGTCTTCCCGGTGCCGGCCGGCCCGTGGATGATCGCCAGCCGCTGCTGGCGCAGGGTGAACTCCACTGCCGCGCGCTGCGACGGGTCCAGCAGGGTGTTGAAGAGCCGCAGCTGGCCGCTTTCGTCGAGGAGCTGCGGCGGCAGCTGTGCCGCCGGTGGCTCCAGCGGGCAGGCATCTTCGGCGAACAGGGTGGCCCGGAGACATCCCAGCGGACCGGAGTTCAGCGACGGGAGGGCCTTCAGGGCGGCGCACATCCTCTCGTGGGTGCTGTCGTCGTGCATCTTATGCACGTCCACGAGCGTGTGCAGGGGGACGTGTTTACTCTTGTTCTTGTCCATCACCAGAGTGAGCTCGAAGTCCGTCTTGTGCCGGACGACAGCCGTGGGCCACCGCTCGCCCACGCGCACCCTGACGCTGTCCCGGCTGGAGATGCAGTTTCTGGGGAACATCGCGTCCCGACCGGCGGCGGGTCGCAGCAGCAGCTCGTGGAAGCGGTGCCGCGTCCTGCGCTGCTGCACCACCAGCAGCCCCGGCAGCTGGTCGCGGCCGTACAGGCGCTGGCGGTCCCACACCTCGGTCCTGTGCTCCTTCTCCAGCAGATGGAGGTGCAGCTTCACCAGCTCCTTGCAGCTCAGCGGCTTGGGTGGCGGCTGAAACAGAAAACGATGGGACCATCAGTGGCCTGTCTTCCTGTTCCCTGCTAAAACGTCTTACTTATTCCCTTTCGCAACTCTCTTCATTTTCTGTGATGGACCTTCTTTCCACCTCCGCCTGTGTCCAAAATCCCTCTAGGTTTTACGCTAGAACTCCCTCCCCGTTCTCCATCAGTCTTTCTGCAGTGTCACTGCACGCCGACTATAAGCCAGTCATTATTGCTGAACTGGTCTGCACATTGCCAGAGGGCCACTCACCTCAGAGGGAGGATCCGGTGCCGGCTGCGAGGGAGGATCTGGCGGCACGACATCTGGCTGGGAGGCACCGCTCGCCTTGGAGACCGTCCCCGTCGCGGCGACGTCAGCAGTGGTATCCGCCTCCTTCCTGTTCCTGCTCTTGGCTCTGGCCCGGCTGCCGCCGCCCCGGGTCTCTGATCGCGACTCCCTCATATTGCACGGGAGCTAGCACCGTCAGAACTCCTGCAGACAAACGGAACGCAAAAAGGCGCATATCAGTAATTGGGACTTGAAAGCTGAACCCTACATAAGTACACGTCAAATTTTCCTTATATCCTTGGACATTCAATGTGGTGTGATCACAATTCCAAGGCCCTTCGTAGATTAAACGTAATTGTTATATTCGGGTGTGAGGTTCAGCTCTCCACCTATGTTTATTGTCTATACATAACTGAAAGCGTGTGACTGCTCATGAAGTGAGAATTACTCCCAGTAGTTGTTTGCAAAGCTAAGCGCAGTTATCTTTAATTTCGATTACCTTAACGCAGTAGGCTAGAGTGCCTTCACTGCCTACTCATCATTTTGGTAACTAACTGTGTCTGCATCTTTAATAAAATCGGTATTTGATAGACAATCATGAACACTTTCATATATCGCTGTCGATCAATAGATACCGAGCTGCCTGATATGGCCAGCCAGCATGCAGTACGGAATGCAGGGTTTCAAAGTCCCCACCCCGATAGCTTATCTGTGTCTCAACATGCCCACCTGAGCACACGAACCAGCCTGTTTAGCTCCGGGATGCCGGCCAACGACGCGGTTATTGAGGAGATAGATGAATGCATTTCAGGGCCTTGGTTTTTACAGGTTTAAACACATACAGCATAATTGTCCGACGCTCCTGGTGAATGCAGGAAGGAAAATTTGAGGGAATTAAGATGTACGTTTAACTCTCGCGAAAAGTGATGCCCAGTTTATCAAAATTCAGACATGGTGTCGGGCATCGCTCCTTCTGCAGCATTTCTTTTGGGGGAGGGGGAATCTAATGTCGTGACTTATCTTACGTATTCATACGTAAATATGCGGCTTGCTCCATTCGTGCCAAGCGCTTTGGCTGGGTGGCAGGTGGCCCTAAAAGAATAAAAACGCAGATAGTAACATGGATAATCTTCATCCAGTCCGGCTGAGTTTCCAACCTTTAATAAGCTAAGCTAAACACCGAAATAGCATCAAATATGTTTTTTCATAATGATGAGTTATCCCTAAAAATGATGAATCATGGGAATATGCTTATAAAGCATCGACCCTTGGGAATCAAAGCGTAGCCGAGTATGAGCTCCACCCGTTAGCGCGGCTGCGGGGATCGCCACGCTGCGGGGACCGCCTCATCACCCTATACCGTGCTGAGCTGTCGTCAACAGCTGTTTGTTGCAGAGTCGACCTTGACCGCAGCACATTGCATCTGCATGGCGCGGTGCGTCATAGTAGGAACACGTCACCGGTGTTGCCACAAGCGTTTGTTACAGGGCGGCTGTGTCAGCAGGAAACAGACCGAGGTAACGTGCCTTTGTGTGTGTGACTGGTTGTTTGGTGTTCTATTTCTCCAGCCGGTGAAATGCGGAGTGCCATCTACTCCCCCGAAGCAGCTTTGGGCTATATCTGAGGACCTCACGGGCTGAGGAAGACTGCGAACGGCTGATAGCGGCACATGTCTCGCTCGCCGTGAGCACCGTCACGAGAGTGTATCGACTCGAGAGTGTTCGTCACGGTTATCACGTGTTCGTGAAAACAGCTGACTCGCCGGCCGTGACTCATAGGCTGGCTGCACTACCGACAGCAGTATACGTTGGCTCTGTAGCGATCAGTTGCTGACTGAGTTATTCATCCGTAGCATTTTCTGTTTTTCTTTTCAACGATACGTTACAAGCGAAGAATTATTTTCGCTAGTAGATGTCGTATTAGTGGTAATGGTCGGGGGCTTTACAGAGAAAGTGGTCTTAGCTCTTGTGATCACATGAAATAGATGTCAAAAGTGCCCGTCAGTGACTTCCCCGGCGGCGACAACGCAATCATAACATCATGTACCTACTAACTAGAATTCGTCGCAATGGGTTATTACTAAAATAGAATATCAATTTTGATGTTGATAGCAACTTTCAAATAGCTGCCGTTCATAAGTTCCGTTTCCAAGTTAAAATGGAAACGAAATTTGTCATTTTTTGCACCAACAGAGGGCCTGTCGTAGCGAACCTCAGGCTAGCAGCAAACATGGTGATTGGTAACCAGCTATATCAGTCACCAGACACACTCGAATGCATTTCAGACTTCAAAAATTAACTCGTGAGCAATTCCAAAAGATAAAACTTATTTTTCCCCACAAAAAAGCGGCAAACTGACAAAATTACACACACAGGCCGTACTAACCGTGGTGTCGCAGCGTCGCACTCTGCCGTTCTGCTTCTCCCTGCCTCCCTGTCCGGCGGCCACAGCTGCGGCCTCGGCCGGCGCTCACCAGCGGTGCACCATGTGGGCACAAAACTGGTCCGTGATCCCCACCGAACCGTATCGCCGCGCCCCAGCGGCGGACTCAGCCGCGGCGCCGCGGGCTCTCTCAGCTCGGAGCGGATCGTAGCACCTTCCGAGGTCTCCTGAGACACTCTGAGGCACTCTGAGACATCCTGAGACACTCTGAGACCTCTTACGGCCTTCTAAGGCGACCCGCTAGGTCAAACCCTATACCGACAGCCCGCCCCAGACTCACCTTTAGACCAGACGAGATCGCTGAGGCCGTGAAGAGACGCTCCGTATAGATGCTGCTGAGAGACGCTCCACCACTCTCAGTCCGCTGAGAGTCGCCCTGCTGAGTCTGGATTCCGCTGAGACTGCCAGGGCCTGAGGCCGTCTGTGTCCTGTGCCGTCCGTCGTCCCCTGGTGCCACTGCGGCCTTGTTGTATGCCCGGTGCCGCCCGTGCTGCTGTGTGCCCAGCCCGGCCCTGTTCCGTGGTCGGACAACTGACTGCGGTATACCCACGGAATGGTGCAGCCTCAGCGGGCCGGCGGGTCCGCCGGGACCGGCAGTTCCGGTGGGGTTCCCCGGACGGCTGACAGGGCCCGTTCCCCAAACTGACCTCCACTGACTGGGTTATGAGCGCCCGGCACGGTAGGGCGGGAGGGCCAGGCCGGGAAATTGTGTGTTTGTGTGAGATACTTCCTGACACATCAATTTCATCACGAGATGGAGATACACAAAGCGTCTCAATGTGGGAAAGTCTGGTGAGTAATGCAAGATGAGAATGCATAAACAAGGATTTTGTTGGAAACGAGGAACTAAAACAAACAGAAGGGGGATAGGTAGAGTGATCCAATGGTGTGCTGCAGATTACCGTCTCTATACAACGTATCCCCTTTTCATTCAATATACCGCCCCAGCCTCATTTTCACTCCAGAATACCTTCAATGTCTTTCAAACGTCATAAAACTTAAGGATGCAAGTTTGAAGGAAAACTGAACTTCAATATTTTTTAGAAATATATTTTGCAGTTTTCTCTGCAAGAGTTCATGGCAGAAATATTTACGTGTGACATGCTAAAGGATGCAATATACCTATTTATAAAACGAAACGTCCCGTTAGTTGACTGAAAACCGTGATCCTCCAATACTATATAATCCATGGTATGATTTTGCTTTCAAACTGTTCATTGTGATTGATTAACCGATAGCTAAAGAAAAATAAACACGATAAAGGCCGACATTGAAGCATAGTTAAAACATCATCTCTCGTAACCGCAAAATTATACCAGTGTTCAGTACGGCTCCTAATCACATGAGTCGCAAATCGCAAATCATTGCCCAAATAAAATTTCAGGCAATATTTCAGCAGCAACGCAAATATTGATCGTCGATTAACTTGCTGATAAATAATAAGTCATTCAAACATCAAAGCGCTTTGCATCCGTAAAATGAGCCGTATATCCATTAACCCTATTAGTGGCAGGCTCCTGGCTACCCCTATTAGTGGCAGGGGGGGGCTGTTTACGACCCCCCCTTGATATCTCGAGATCTAACGGGCCGATTTTCAAAATTCAAACGGCATTCGATTTCGCTCAACGTGATCTACATTTCTAAAAAAATAAAAATTAAAAAATGTCGACTCGCTTCACGAATAGGACCCCCCAATTCCCAGTGCTCTGGAGCCGCCCCTGGTAAAGTTATGAACTTGAAATTTTCAGGGAATGTGCCCAATTTAGTTTTAGGAAAAGTCAGAAAATTTCAGCATCGTAGCTTCAGCGGTTCCGGAGATATTCCCGAAAAACCTGAGGGGTGGATAAAAACAACCCCCCCCCCTGCCACTAATAGGGTTAACGGACCACCATGACCTATTATACACTCGTAATAAAATACCCACGGGCATAGAACCATTTCAGTCACTATCGCGACAAAACGTCTGCGCAGCGAAAAAAAAAAAACAGTACAACCCACCATTTCCTCCAACACGTCTATATTATTTCTTCGTTTTTTTTTTGCCCTGACCGATTCTCTAGTGACCCCGCTGTCTCTCGGATCCTTCTCCCCCACTCCTCTCCCTCTCCCCCACTCTCTCTCCGTCCACTGCCGCTCACATACAGAGCGGCTCTCCGAAGAAGGGTGTCGACTGCTCCACCATCCTGGTGACGGTCCTCTCCAGCCAACAGAACGTGTCCACGTCCGCCATCCTGGTATACACGTCCGGCCAGCCGAGCCGGCCGCGACACGCGGCGTTCCAGGAGAGCAGGCCGACCAGCACGGTCCGGCCGGGGCGAGCCGGGTCATCGCAGGTCAGAGGGGCGCCCGAGTCGGTCTGAAGAGGGGGAGAGGGGAGGTCAACAGGGAGAGAGGGAGGGTCACCAGAGTCGGTCTGGAAGGGCGGGAAGAGAGGGGGCAATGTTAATAACAGAGAGACATGGTGATGAAAGATCAATAGTCGTCGTCGTCTAAATTCCAAGTTCTAGCTAAAATCAACAGCCAAGAGTCCACAGCACACAGTACTCATAGCCGATAGTCTACCCTTACTCCGCACTCCCTAATCTTCACAGTCGTTAATCCACAGTCTCTTCACTCCACAGTGTCACCCCATGACCCCACTAACCCGGCAGGCCGACTCTGAGCCCGGCTCGGTGGCGGCGCAGATGAACGAGTAGTGGAGTCCGAACGTCTCTGGCAGTTTACCGGTGGCCTTCAGACCCGCCTCACACTGATCTCGCGTCAGGAGTTGGACCGAGGTGGCGCGAACCGAGGCGGCCCGCTGCTCTGGGAACAGAGGGCGCCAGGGGTCACTATAGACGGAGGGAGTGCCATAGACAGAGGGAGTGCCAAGGGTCACCAATTGAGACATAGGGTCACCAATAGACAGGGGGGGGTGCCAGGCCCACCAGACAGAGGGGTCACCATAGTCAGAGGGGTCACCATAGACAGAGGGTCACCATAGACAGCGGGTCACCATAGATAGAGGGTCACCATAGACATGAGTCACCATAGACAGATGGTCACCACAGTCATGGAGTCACCATAGACATGGAGTCACGATAGACATGAAGTCACCATAGACATAGACGCTCCATAGACATGGAGTCACCATAGACGGAGGGGTGGCGCGGACTGAGCTGTTCCGTTCCTGTGGGAACAGAGAGGGCGCCAGGGGTCACGACAGAGGAGAGAGAGAGAGAGAGAGAGAGAGAGAGAGAGAGAGAGAGAGAGAGAGAGAGAGAGGGGGGGGGCTAAGTGTTGCGATAAAAAGATAAGCAAATATCGCGAGTGCAACGGCGTGAAGTTTGACTAGTTATAACTACAGTTCGACCATATATCAGGAACCAGTACGGGAGAGAGCTATGATGCCGTTACTTGGCTCGTGGCACGCGCTGTGTACCACGGGGGAGTAGGACCGTGCATTGGTGTAGTTTTTGGGAATGTGTAGTCCACTCGGTGATCCGCAATTCCCCAACAATTCGCGAAGGAGCGAAAATGGAAGGGCACGAAAGTTATGTTGTCGATTGACGGATATGGTACAGTTATATCAATACCAGCAGCCAGAGGAAAAATCAATTTCGGAAGAAACGACTGTATGCTTCAGTTTCGCATCAAGTTGTCCGAAAGCTAAAAATGATGCACATCAAACGCTCCGACAGAGACGCCGAACTAGCCTTACAGCCGTTCTCTCGTAGAAAACAGGCCCACTTCGCCTCCAGTCGGTCACGCCACACCATTCAGCCGTACCCTCCGACAGGCTCCTCAACCACAACACGAAAACACGCAGAAGGCGCCCTAATCCGGCGGCTCTAATCCGCCGCGCGCCTTACCGTCGATAATCTGTACGGTCTGACAGCCGCTGAGCTGAGACGGTTCGCCGGGGTCCAGTGTGGCCGGCCCCAGGCAGGCGGGGGTCACAGAAGGACCGATTGGGACGGCCTCAGAGAGTCGCAGCACCGCCAGGTCGTGGTAGCGCGCCCTGCCACCCCAGTCGATATGCAGTACGGACTCGGCCACAGTGAGGTCGCCGCCGGTGCCCGAGGGCAGGCGGACCACGAGAGACTCGACCGGCTCGCTGTGGGGGAATAATCAGAGTTTATATCTATTTTCTCTTGCGAGCATCAAAGCTGAAGCAATAAGAAAAGTAATTGTGGTATCATATTCAGATCAAACCTGCTTTACTATGCCAACCGAAAAAAAATCAAACGTCCAGGCAGTTAGGTACGGAGAAAGTATATTTGGCCTGTACTATCATCAAATACTTTTGAGCTACATATATGAACCGTGAACGTCAAAACATTTAAGCTAATATAAGTGCGTCAATATTACGGAAATAGATGTCAAAGGAGCCTAGAAGTGTGCGCGGGCTTCCTGTTCCGAAAACAAAACAAAAATATTATCGGATAGGTACGGAAAGTAAACTTTCTCGTTAATTCATCATGTCTTACTCTTCGACGATGTGTGCGGCAGTGACGACGATCTTGGCGTGGATGAGGACTCCGGCCCCGCGCAGGTGGGTCCCTCCCTGCTCCCAAACAGTCACCAGCCACGGAAACTGGCCGGGCGTCACCTCGTCGCCCTGAAACACGCCGCAGATTGTCCGATATACACACGGTGATCGGCTGCAGAACGGGTGAGAGCGAGTGAGACCGGAGCTGTGACATCTTCTGTAGCCCACATCGGCTTTCGGCAGATAGTGATTCATTGGAAAAAATGAATGGAGGACACTGCGCCTCTGACAGCAAACTGTCGAGCGGCTATCTGAAGCAAGCTGTCGCTGCCTGTCATCTTTACACAGCGTTATGTCTGTGCTTCTGACAGGGAGCAAACAGGATGGGGCACATGATTGTTCCCTGTAACATACCACAACCACATACGCCGTTATCAGTAAAGCCACGGAGAACGCTTCACTGAATAATGATACATCACGTCGGTGCATTTCGCCTCTAAGCCAAAAACGTTCATTACAACTTGTCAGGACACTTCAACTTGAGCTGACAACAACTTGTCAACAGTGATCAAACTAGAACATCACAGAGCACCGCTAACCTAATCCCTGGACATGAGCACGCATCGCCTGACGAATTGCGTGCTAGGGGATCGGCATGCGATTGGAATTAGAAGCACGAACGTAAGATTTAAAGCGTAACTGAATGTCAGGTAAATCTAACATGAGATCTAAATTCAACTGAAGGTAGGTCCTAAGAAAATCAAAACGTCTGATGAGTGTGGGGTGGGCGTTTATCACGGTTATGTTATCATAAATGCGCATCAGTGGCCAAAAGATTAAGATGCGTCCTGGTGATAGCAATAGCTATAAGATCACGCCAAAGCATAAGTTATCTGGCATATCTATGGCATCGTAGCATGAAGACCATTCAACAGTTAAATGCTGTTGAGCGTATCAAAGTTGAGCCATCATGAAATTGCGCTTACACTTTATAGTTTTTACCGACTGTCAGTATGCCGAGACTTACTAGAGCCAACTTACATGG